AGTGCGATGGCTCAGCAGTATATGCTGCTCTTGCAAAGAACCAGAGTTTGGTTCCCAGCACCCACTCCACAAGCACCTGTGACTGCATATCTAGGACACCTTATCTGGCCTCCACAGGCAACTGCTCTCACTCACACATATCCCAGCCCTGTACATGTAATTAAAAATAAAACACTTCAAAGAAAGAAAGAAAGAAAGAAAGAAAGAAAGAAAGAAAGAATCAAACAAGGAACAAAGAAGGAAGCAAAGGAAAAGAAAGAAGGAAAGGGAGAGAGAAGAGAAAGAAAGATATGTATCATGCAATGTGTTTCTTCATTGAATACAGATGTACAGTAGAAAGCCAAGTTTTTGCAACTGTTGGTGTGTGCTGACTGCATCATATATCATACTTCGTAGTATGTGCTGAAAACCAGACTGGAAATACCAGGCTGTGAAATGTGTGTGTGTTGGTGGGGAGGTGAAGTCAGACGGGTGTTTTTAAAAGTCTCAGATCAAGGGCTTTGGGAATGGCTCAGTTGGTTAAGTGCTTGCTCTACAAGCATGAAGACCCAGGTTTGAGCCTCAGCACCCACTTAAAAGGTCAGATATGATGGCTTGTGCTTGTAATCGTAGTACCAGGAACACAGAGGCAAGAGGATTCCTAGAGGTTAATAGGCAGCCAGCCTAGCCTAACCAGCCATCCCCAAGTCCTAAAGAGAGCCTGTCTCAAAACACAATGTGAACTGCAGATAAGGAATGACACCCAAGCTGACCTCTGGTCACCTATACATCTGAACACACACAAACATTTTTCAGATCATCACAGTTAACTGATAAAGCAAATACTAAAGCAGGTTAACAAGGGAGAAGAATCAGCATCCACGGTGCTTTGGATACCTGAAATAAGGAGCTGTTGAGACACTCTCTTTACCGTTATAAACAATAAGAGGGGATCTAGACATCAGGGTTTATGGAGGCACCAAGATGGTGCTCAAGAAGAATTTTTTTTTTTTTTTGAGACAGGGTTTCTCTGTATAGCCCGGGCTGTCCTGGAACTCACTCTGTAGACCAGGCTGGCCTCGAACTCAGAAATCCACCTGCCTCTGCCTCCCAAGTGCTGGGATTAAAGGCATGCACCACCACTGCTCGGCAAGAAGAATCTTAAGTCATTAGAAAACCATACTGGAAATACCCGTGTTTGGCAATAGGGAGTGGAAGAAACTGAGGTGACAGAAGTGGGAGATGCCATCCATCACGAGGAAGAATAGCAGAAGCTCCAAAATCTGACTTTTGTAGTTTATGGGGAACTGACCTCTGTATTTCATCACAGAGTTGTACTTGATGAGAGTAGGCAACTCCATTTAGCTTCTTGAACAAAATAGTAGTGTGTTTTTTTGCTTGTAGTTTTAGGAGAAGAGATAATACACGTATCACCACCAGCGGCAGCAGCAGCAAGAGCAACACTCACACAGAAATTCTATTCTACTTGGCAAAGACATTTTGGAAACAAAATTTCTTCTTGTTTCACTTTGTTGGAAGAAATGGGGATGTTGTGTGTAAGAGATTTCATTTGCTGAGTTATACTTTGTAGTCAGAGATATGCCTGTTAATAGCTTTTTTGACTGGCTGACTACTAGTTGGTGAGCTACCAGGTGGCAAACAACAAACCTTGACAACAATTTTTGATTGTCTGTAGTGGATACTTTTTAATCTCTTGAAATTTTCTATGGTAATTGTGTTGTTTATCTGAAAGCAATAGTCTAACTATGAAAAAGAAAGTGAGAGAGAGAGAGAGAGAGAGAGAGAGAGAGAGAGAGAGAGAGAGAGAATTGTAGGCTTAGATTTTTCTCGAAACCTACTTTATTTAGGGTTCCAGAATGCGTCAACCTCCCTTCTAGCTCACTGACCAAAGGTGGGGAAGAAGCTTTATAGGCAAAGGGGATTGTGAACCTGTTTAGTCGTTCTTTGGGGGAAATTCCATTCTTCATTGTCAGGATATCAGCAATTTAATCCAATAGTAAACACCAAACATGAATCACAAGTTTCCTGCAGTGAATTGTCATGAGTCAGCAGAAGTGTCCAGAATCAGTGTGTGCGTGTATATATGCATGAACCTGCACATTGCATGAAGAACTGCTACTAAGGGCTGGAGAGATGGCTCAGCAGTTAAGCAAACTTTATTCTTTTTGAGAAGACCTGAGTTAGGTTCCCAGCACTGTAATAGAATTTTAGCCTCCACGTGAGTGCTATGCCAACTGTGTGCCCCTCCACACCCACACCACACATGCAAATAAGTTGAAATGAATAAATAAAATAGAAAAGACTCTCATCCCAAAAAAAGGCATTTTTATTTTTAAAGATTTAAAAATATGTGTTTTGATCAACTCTACCTCATCTTCCTCTCCAAGTTCTCCCCTATCTCTCCCAACACTTTTTCTTTCTTTCTTCCTTTCTTTCTCTTTCTTTCTTTTCTTTTCTTTTTTTCGAGACAGGGTTTCTCTGTGTAGCCCTGGTTGTCCTGGAACTCACTCTGTAGACCAGGCTGGCCTCAAACTCAGATATCCGCCTGCCTCTGCCTCCCAAGTGCTGGGATTAAAGGCGTGCGCCACCACTGCCTGGCATCCGTTTTCTTTCAAAGTCAGTTTTCTTCAGGGATGCATCCCCTGAGAAGCTATCCATGAGCCAGTAAATGGTCCTACATCCATGCACATACAAACAGCACTAAGTGGACTCAGTGGGTATTAAAAAAAAAAAAAGCAGGCTAAACAAGCCATGGGGAGCAAGCCATTACATCACACTCCTCTGTGGCCTCTGCTTCAGTTCCTGCCCTGAGGTTCCTGCCTTGATTTCCTGCCTTGACTTCCTGAATGAGTTCAGATAAAATGAACCTTTTGGTCCATAAGTTGTCTTTGGTCATTTTATCACAGCAATAGGGACCTAAATAAGATAGATATGTTAGAGAGGGGCTATCAGAGTAGGCCTTGCCTGTCATACAGGCTGAAACCACAAAGAAGCACCCTAAGAGATTTGCTCAGGGAAACAAACGTCCATCAATGACAGTTGAGATAACCTTTTTTAGTGACTCCCTTATTCCCAAGTTGGACAGGTAACTATGTGTTCTGTGTTCCTCAGGGTGACCTAAGGATGAAGGGTACTGGTGTTTAGCCCTGTCTGGAGAGAGGATGAAGAAAAGAGGAAAGGGGTAGGTAAAGAAGACACAACAAATATTGCACTGGCTACCACTTTACAACCAAATGCCACCAACTCACAGAGAGATGGATATGTCCACTCAGTCAGGCAGTATATTTCACAACAGGTTGTATGGTCAAAAATTCAATAGAACAGTCCATAGGAAAAAGAAAAAGGAAAATTTATGTCTCCTTCCTGCCTTGCTCCTATTGGCTGTTAGGTCTCAAAGGAATTCAGGACAAAAGGTTAACTGAAGTACCTATTAACATATCAAATCAAACGCTGGCCACCTGGTTCTGGAAGCATGGCTTGTGCCTGTTACAGGGTCCTGGATCCTCTCAGCACTTCTCACCCACCCCACCCCAGTCCTAAGCCTCTCCACAGTTAGCCTCCCTTCCCCCACCTCTTTTTCCTATATAGCCCAGCCATTTTGTCTACAGGTTGTCTTGGTTCTGGACTTCTCTCTTGGTCCTCATTCTCTTGGTCCTCTTGGCTTTGCTCTTGGATCTCTTTTGGTTTGCTTGTGCTCCTCTCTTTTCTTTCTCTCCTTCCCTCCCCAAATCCTTTCATGGCCTGGTCTATTCTGCTGCCCGTGTTCAGTATTCAGTCCAGACTCTTCCAGGAATCTCTGGCTGTTCTCTTCCACATATTATAATAAAAACCTCCTCAACCATATTTAGGAGTGGTCATGTCCTTGTTCTTATCCATTGACCAGTTTGCTCTCTACAATTTTGGGTTTCTATGTATGGCCTCTTCAGAAGCTAAATCCCACATCCCTCATTCAAGTCTGGCAGTGGCAGAAGATATCACAGACTTGGTTGCATAGAGCATCGTGGAGAGTGGGATAACCTTCTACTCTAAGTGACTCCTGGTAGGGTTAATGGAGTTTTAAACAAACTGTGTGATGAGTCGAGAGATAAAGGGGATGGAGAATGGAAGCAATGAGACTCTGAGAGGCAACTTAAGTGTACCCTTTATTGGGTTTCTGCTTTGGCATGTAAAATATGCACCTCAGTCCCTTGTCTCAGGTCAGAAACGGAACATTCTTCTGTTTGTTCTTCCAGATAGCCTTGTTGGTGATAGAAAAACCTTTGAAGGATGATGAGGTTTTTCGGGAAGGAATCAAGAGGTCGGAGCAGAGCATGTGGAATATGAGTGTTAATTTAACTGTCTTTGAATATCCAGGCAAGCGAATTTCAGCTAAATAGGCATTCCACTCATCAAGTTCTAAGAGCAAACCTTCCTGTTGGAGTGCCACCTCAAGCTCTGAAGGATGGCATTCCAAGAAAAGGGATGAGAACGAACGAAAATATCAAAGTGTGTGTCACAATAGACAATTCACAATAGCGAAGTTATCAAATTCCAACAAACTGCATTTCGGGGCAAAGAAGTGAACTGGAACTCTTTATTCTTTAGGCAATGATAGGCCTCACCATTTTTTTTTTTTTAACTTACGGATGAGGCGCAGTTACCAGACTAAAGCCCATTGGGGGTGGGGGTGGGGATTTCCGGGTAGAGTGCTTTCCTTGCAATCCCGAGAAAATGAGCGGCCTCCCTTCTGCTCCCATTCCTCAGTGGAGAGGCACACATCTCCTTTAAAGATGAGGAGGAAACAACCAGCTGGAAAAAAATTACCTAACTTAACTCAATTGAGAAGGTAGTTCAGGATCTTAGAGATTTGGTTTGTTAAGGATGTAACCTCGTTAAGAGACTGCCTTGGTTGTAGGCACTCGCACAGACACCTTTTTCAACTGCGCAAGCGCTAGGTCCTCTCCGCTGCCGCGGGTCCCCGCCTTGCTCTGCCGTGGCGCGAGGCAAGTCGGGAAATCTAAGATGGATCCTTCCATTTGAGTTCTTCGCAAGTCTATGGTATCCCGCCGCGGCCCGTTCTTACTCCGGCATCTAGGAGGGAGAGGGGATGAGAAGCTGTGGCGGCGAGGAGCCATCGTGACCGTCCTGCTGCTGCATCGGGCCTTCGCGGCCCCTGTGCCTCCGGGGAGCAGCCGGGGCTCTCAAGCGCCTGACGCGTCCCCAGTCACTCAGGTGCGGGCCGGGCCGGTTAGCGCATCGCTGCGACTTGGTGTTGGGGTTTCGCTGCACCGAGTGACCCGAGGGCTAAGCGATCCGGGGCTGGCCTTGAGTCCGTGCTGGGGTGAGAGAGACCCGAGTCTCAGACTGGGCTTTCCGGGTTCGCCCGATGCGCCCTGAGCCAGATGCTCGGGTCGCTGCGCCGCAGCGCGGTTTACTCAAAAGCACGAAAAGCCTATTTTTGTAGAGAGACACAACTCTGGGTCCCGCTGTTTGCATATGTTCTTAGTAACCAGTAATGACAGTTTTAGTTCTAGCATGTCAACTCAGTGCTTTTATGTGGCCTGTAACGACTAACAGTCTAACAACTTTTGGAGAACTGTGAAAGTATTAAGTATGATGCCTTTGGGCTAAAAGACATCGAACTGCGAAAATGATGCTGTAAAAAGTTATCTTGTAGGTTTGTTTTAAGCTATAAGGGAATGACGTTACATGTTTGCACAAGGAAAAGTCGGGTAAAGTTGCAAGTTCTTTAATGTTGTCTGCTTTGTTGAATAGAATTTGGAAAGGCCAGCCACATTTTGGATTTTTTTTCCCTGCTTTTTATAAGGTATCTGTTGTTCTGTTTCAAGTTCTGTTGTCAATATTGATTTTATTTCTAGGATGTGAAAAAGAAACTTTGTCCTGTTTTTGGTCGTAATCATCTCAGAGATGAAGTTTAAGTCACAGCAAGGACAACTTTGTAGCTATAGAGGGCTTCCTATAAACTAGGGGCTTTCAGGTGATTGTTAAAGAAAATTGATGCCAAAAAGACTTCAGATGAGAACGTAAAGTTGAATTTAGTCAGCAGTTGTTAATCTTAAGTGCCATTTCAAACACAGTTGGTTGTAGTGCTGCTATCAAATGCTGTTGTAGAGGTTTTCTCAAAGACAAAATCTGCTCATTCTATGCCACAAAACGTTAGAATGTTAGCTATCTTTATGTACTGTGAGACGAAGTGTCTGTGAGGTGGACCGGCATGTTTCTGACAAAGCTCCATCCCGGCCTTTGTAGTAATAAGTTAGATTTGATCAGAAGGCTGACAAGAATGTGCTTGGATTCACACAGAAATAATGTTGATATTTGGAACCCATGTCGAACTTCTCTGAAGAAAGAGCAACGATGATTGCAGCCGGGGATTTGCAGGAATTCGTTCCTTTTGGTCGAGACCACTGCAAGCACCACCCTAATGCTCTGAATCTTCAGCTTCGGCAGCTGCAGCCAGCCTCTGAGTTATGGTCGTCGGATGGTGCAGCTGGCTTGGTGGGATCTCTTCAGGAGGTTACAATCCATGAGAAACAGAAGGTCTTATTAAGATTCTCATCATACTTTTGAAATACAGAATGAATAATGTACTGATGTGGAGCTACCCATATGCATGAGAGAGATAAGGGTTTATGTTGGCACTTGGTTAAAAGCTAACGTTTGATCATTTTGGTCAGTGCTGAAATACAGTGCTGCCTACTTAGGCATGCTGTGTAACTTGTAGTGAGAATTGAGTACTTCAGTCATGGCTCGTTCTACTTCATATGTGGATAATCAGGTTTTATAGTCTTTGATAACTAAATGCTAAGGATTAGAAATGGTACCCGAAACACATCTTTCTAGAAGAGGGCTGATGTCACGTAAGAGTGTTAGAGTAGGAGTACTTTATACTTTGAGGTGGAGCCTCACTAAGTAGCCCAGACTGATCCTGGACTTTTGATCCTCTGTCTTAGTCTTCAGAATATTGGAATTAGATGTGTGTGTCACAATGCTTGTCAAAGTAGTCATTCTTAATTATGGAGGTGTATGATGCAAAAGTATGTCAGAAAACAACACTAGAACAGAGTGGTTCCTTTATATAGTCCTTGTTCCCCCAACCTAGCCCCTGATTTGTTTTGGGTGGGAGGACTCATGCTAGGGGCCAAACCAATGTCATGGCCTTGTGGCCTTGAGAGAGAAACACTACCACTGAGCTGTACCTCTCTTCTGCTTTACCTAATCTTCATATGCCTTTGAAATCAAATCTCTTGGTATGTACATAGATAGAAATCAGAAACCTTGTAGCTTCCATTCATCTTATGTGTGGGGCAAGGGAGAGAAGATAAGTGTATTTGCAGCTGTGAAGCAGGGAAGTCCCCCATTGTCCCATGTGCACCTCTCTGTCTATTTTCTGCCTTCTACATACATCTAATACATACTTTTAGTTTCCCTTCAAGCATGAATTTTATCTTATGCTCTATTTTTGCGTGCCTGTGTTATTGGCAGAGCAATGCTAGGGACCTAGAAGTATAAAATAAAATACTATAGAGAATTTTTGAGTCAGTTTTAAAAAAGCCTGCCTGCTTGTATGTCTGTGTACCGTGTGTGTGCAGTGCCCATATGAACCAGAAGAGGGCATCAGATCTCTTGAAACTGAAGTTACAGACAGTTGTGTAGGTGCTGAGAATCAAACCCTGGTCTTCTAGAAGAGCAGCCAGTGTTCTTAACCACTGAGCCATCTCTCCTACTTCTAAGTTATCTCAAGAGTCCCCTGATATAATGTACCCACTTTGCTAATTCATTCACTCTGTTCACTCATGTATTGCAATCCTTTTAGGAGTTAGTCTTGGGTTGAGTCTTAATTCACAGGCAGATCTTGCTCCAGACTACTGAAAAGGAAGGAAGAAGTGCTGAGCATGTCCTGTGTGTTAATTTTAAAGGAAAGCTGGCAGTTAAGAAAAGGTGTGAGTGAGATTGGAGATGCAGCCGACTACGATGAAGAGCTCTATGTGGCTGGGAACATGGTTATCTGGAGCAAAGGGAGTAAAAGCCAGGCACTGGCAGTGTACAAAGCGTTCACAGTGGACAGCACTGTCCAGCAGGTGAGTCCACTGAGTTTGCACAGTGATCAACTGTTAATATAGCTGTTTGGGAAAGAAGTTTGTGTTTTAAAATGATAACAAATGACAACAACAGTGTAACAATTGTAGCAGTTGGTTGTACATTATGTCATGTAGTGGAGACTGGCAGGAAAGTAAGATTTTTCATTTTATCCACTGAGACAGGGTCTCTGTAGCCCAGGCTGGCCTGGTACTTGAGTTCCCCCTGCCGCAGCCTCTGAGTATGACAGACACCTATCACCATGTCTGACTTACCACATTCTTATATTTTTGGTTATGAGCCTAGCCTTTAATATCTGAGTCATCTTTCCAGCACATTCTTTAGATTATCTTTTGCTAGTGATACAGTCTTTTATTTTCTTTCTTTCTTTCTTTCTTTCTTCCTTTCTTTCTTTCTTTCTTTCTTTCTCTCTTTCTCTCTTTCTCTCTTTCTTTCTTTCTTCTTCTTCCTCCTCCTCTTCCTTCCTTCTTCCTTCTTCCTCTTCTTCCTCTTCCTCCTCTTCCTCTCCCTCTTTCTCCTCCTCGTCCTCTTCTTCCTCTTCCTCCTTTTCCTCCTCCTCCTCTTCTTCTTCCTCCTCCCCTCTTCTTCCTCTTCCTCTTCTTCTTCCTCCTCTTCCTCTTCTTCTTCCTCCTCTTCTTCCTCTTCTTCCTCCTCTTCTTCCTCCTCCTCCTCTTCCTCCTCCTCTTTCTCTTCCTCTTCTTCTTCTTCTTCTTCATTGGAGACGGGTCTCTACATAGCCCTGGCTGTCCTGGAACTTACTCTTAAGCCGGCCTTGAACTCACAGAGATCCCATTTCCTCTGCCTCTTGAATGCTGATATTAAAAATGCACTTACTTTTATTGCTATTATTTTTTTAGTTCTGAGGATTGAGTTTAGGCCCTTTTATATGCTAGGCAAGCACTTTTACACAGACACACACACACACACACACACACACAGACAGCATTGCAAATAATACTATTTTATCACTAGATGTGAAACTTAAAATTTGTTATCAACAAAAATTATGTGAGATTAAAAATATCTTAAAGCACATGATTACTGTAATTCATTTCCAGATATTGAATACATAAAAATTATTGGATTCATAGTGAAAGGAAATTCAGCCTGATTTGCTACTATTATAGGAATTGTTGGGATCATTTTCTAAAAATTGATAGAAGTAATGAAACACTTAACTATTTCAGGAAGATAAGCAATTTATCACTATTTGATGAAGGAAACTCTTCACTTATTGAAGAATACCAGCCTATAAATGTAAAAGAAATGGTAGAAGCAGAAATCATTTTCTAGCTTCCAATGTGCTAATCACTTCAGGCGTGGTTGTAATGGTTATTAACACAGTTGCAGAAAAGGATGATACATGACAGCAAGGTATTACTTGCTAAGTGTAAAGAAACAAATTAATCTTTTCTTCAAAATTGTTTTTGGTCTCTAGCTCAACCAAATGATTGGGTTCAGCTTGACTTATATTTTATGTACCTCTAGCTAGTTGTAATACAGGAAAAAAATGTGATGTCTACTGTATTTTCTTTTGAGAAATATTTAATGTGAATATTTAGATCTAGCTTTCAGTTTATAGTAAACTTGAGATCTAGGGGTTCAAATTCCCAAGTAGCATGAGATTTGAGGAATGGCTTGGAGATTACTTAGTGATGGCGGTGGCCAGAAAGACGGCTAGGCTGATAAAGGCACTTTCTGCTAAGCCTGACAACATGAGTTTAATCCACAGGACCCACATGCTGGAGAGAGTGAACTGACTTCTGCAGGTTGTCCTCTGACCACCATAAGTGTGCTGTGGTACACACAAAATAAATAATAAATGTAGTCATAAAGAACAGAAGTTAGGTGTGGCTGTGCGCTCTTTCAATCCCAGTACTTAGAAGGCAGAGCCAGGTGGATCTCTGTGGATATAAGGCCAGCCTGGGCATAGTCAGTTACAGGACAGCATGGGCTCTGTAGAGAGACCTTGATTCAAAATAAATGAATAAATAAATAAATAAATAAATAAATAAAAAAGCTAGCTGGTCAGAGGTGGTGAACACCTATACTCCTAGCACTTGGGAAGCAGAGGTAGGTAGATCTCTGAGTTCAAGGTGAGCCTTGTGTGCAGAGCAAGTTCCAGGACAGCCAGGGCTACACAGAGAAACCCTGTCTCGGAAAAAAACAAAACAAAACAAAACAAAAGAATGGCTGAAGGCTGATAATTATGGAAGCTGTGGATGGGGATAAATTGTTTCCTTTGTGTGTGTATCTGAAAATCTCTGTTATAAAGAGTTTAAAAGAAAAAAAATAGTGAAGTGAGCAACTAGAGGAATCTAGTTGGTAATGTTTACATTGTGATCTTTTAAAGAGTGAATCGGGGGGAAGAAAAAGTGAGAACTGTTCTGGATGGCAGACACTAAAATGACATCACTGAATTCCTTTATCTCTTGAACAGAGTTTGTACTATGCAGAACTAAGGCTGTCTTAAATGAGAAAACCCCTGGCCTCAGCCTCTGTAGTGCTGTGATTACAGGCATGTGTTGCAAATGCCAGGCCAAATGCAATATTTTTGAACCTTGTTAAATCAACTTTGAATTCTGGTTCTAAAAATACTAGGTTAAAAAAAGACTTTTGAGGGGAGGGGTGGAGAGGTGTTGGAAAATTTAAAAGAATGATTCACTGTTAGTAATATCAGAGTATTTATTATTCTCTGAAGACTGGTAGTTTTGTGAGTTCTATTTTTTCTCTTTTTTTTCCCCCTTCCCTTCTCCCTTTTGCTCTGGCCCTGGTCACTCTGGGCCCTTGCTCGATCCAGGCCCCCATTTTGTGAGTTCTTAACAAAACATCTTCAGCTGAATATGGTGGTGGACACCTTTAATCCCAGTACTTGGCAGGCAGAGGCTGGTGAATCTCTCAGTTTGAGGCAGCCTTGTCTACAGATTGAGTTCCAGGCTAGGCAGGGATACATAGTGAGACCCTGTCTCAAAAGCAAATAAAAGGAGAGCATCTTTAGTATTTAAGTTAAAATTATTTAGTAGCATTTTAATATTTTTAGGATTGTGGCAGACTACATATACACAACATAAAATTTATGCTTTACACCATTTCAAGTGTTCAATTTAGTAGCATTAATAGGGGAAACTGTTTTCTAAACATTCTTTTAATATGAGCATAGACTCTGAGATCTGCTGAGTCACTTAAGCTCTCCCATGATCCTTGCTTTTTGTAAGACACAGGGGTTTGCACAGCCTGAGCTGGTGTTTGAGCTGTAACTGCAAGACTTGTGTCAGCTGAGTCTTTTGATTATTTTGTTTTCCTTTCTCTTAAGATTTAATTGTAGCCGGGCGGTGGTGGCGCACGCCTTTAATCCCAGTACTTGGGAGGCAGAGGCAGGCGGATTTCTGAGTTTGAGAGTTCGAGGCTAGCCTGGTCTACAGAGTGAGTTCCAGGACAGCCAGGGCTACTCAGAGAAACCCTGTCTCGAAAAACCAAAAAAAAAAAAAAAAAAAAAAAAAAAAAAAATTTAATTGTAAACATAAATCTTAGAATATGTAGCATTAAGTGTTATAATCTTACTTTTTGTTACTCTTGTTTGTTTCCATGGTATGTATGTGTGTGTATGTATAAAAATACATCTATATTTTGCTGAGGAAATGTACTATGTAAATATTGTTTCTGATGCTATTAGCTTGTGGATGATTATTTAGACATAATTTTCTTAGACAAACATTTTGTTTTGATTTTAGGCATTGTGGTGTGACTTCATTATATCACAAGATAAGTCTGAAAAGATCTATAGTAAGTTTCTTTATGAAATTTTATTTCCCATGATTCTAAGCATTTATCTCACTGTGATACATTTATAAGCAACTCTTTGTTTGTTTTTGGTTTTTTTTTTTTGAGACAGGGTTTCTCTGTGTAGCCTTGGCTGTCCTGGAACTCACTCTGTAGACCAGGCCGGCCTCGAACTCAGAAATCCGCCTGCCTCTGCCTCCCAAGTGCTGGGATTAGAGGCGTGCGCTACCACCGCCCGGCTATAAGCAACTTTTAATCACAGTGGTTCAACCGAAGTTTTGGATAATGTATTGATGAACTTTTGTTGTTTGGATTGAACTGTTTAGCAGGAAAATAAACAATCTATAAATCTTGTACTCTTTCCCTTCAGAGAGCCATGAACTAGAGAAGTGCATATGTATATTACAGAGCTCGTGTATGAACATGCATAGCATAGACGGGAAGGATTATATAGCCTCCTTACCATTTCAGGTAAACTCTGGTTTAAGTGTTTGGTGTATGTTTTGTGTAACATATAATCATGTGTAACAGATTTTTATGTAGGTCTCTTATATGTCAAGGGTGTTAGTTTTTACTTAACTGAATTTCAGTAGTTTTAGTTCACCATGTGACTTCTTTTTCCACAAAAATAATTTTGTAGTGAAGTAAATTATGAAGTATGAGATGTTTGTGAGTTTAATGAGGTTTACAAAGTCACGTTGGCTCTATTGTATTAGGCATATGAGTAGTATTGGCCTCTTTTGTACCACATCGTCTTTGAGTGCTCAGGCTGTTATACCCTGTGTTGATGACGCCAGCCACAGTTTCATACTGAGCACATGGTTTGTGGGTTTGATTCTTGTCTTAATGTTGCTTGTTAAAAGTCATAGATTTTGAAATACTGTATTTTGTGATAATGTTACTTTGAAAGCCCTCAGTAAATTCAAAGAGAATGTTCTGTTATTCTGTCTGAAAGCTTTGCTTAAACTGTAGTTTTCTTACCTCTGTTCCCCCACCTTTTTATTGATAGGTGGCAAACGTTTGGGCCACTAAATATGGTTTGCTGTTTGAACGAAGCAGTTCTTCGCATGAGGTGCCTCCCAGTCTACCTAGGTATTCATTTCATTCTGTTCAGAATATCATTTCTTGGGCTTTTATAGTGTTGACTCTAAAGTGAACTTGTTAACGTAAATGTTTGGAGGTATCCATGGTCACAGCATAAGTATCACACAGTTGCATGCCAGCGCTCCATTGCTCTGTGCTTTCCTAGGTAACGCTGAGCAGGAGCTTAAGGAGGACAGGAGTCAGGTCTCAGCCCTGCCGTGTCTTCACTGTACTGCTTTGGACAGATCGTCATCACTTTCTTAGGTTTCATTTTCTTACTTGGTTCAGGAGTGTTCTTAGTTAGCTCTTGGGATTTCTGCAGACTCTCACAGGGGCCCGGCGTATATTAAGTGTGCAGTCAGTGCTGCGTGTCTCTTGACAGTGTACCTGCTGAAAGGAGGGATGTGCTGAACAAACACAGAGTACAGCAGCAGACGCTTGCCGTGTGAGAATTGTCTGCAGATTTTCATCTCTGTGTTGATAGAAAAGCCAGTCCTTCTCTTCGTTAACTTTCTGGAAATTTCAGAGTTACTTGAAGTATTTTTTTCTTCTTTTAAAAAAATGTATCCATTTATGAACAAGTGTAGGAGGCTAAATTTCTTGGCTCCTGTAGACATATAGCAACTAGGAGAGATAAGGGAACGTGGTTATTCTCTGGATTCTGTCATGTGATGACTGCTCTTTGCAGATTTTCCCCTGGACATAGTCAGCTTTCTTCTATGTGTGTATGCATAGAATGATTACAAGAAGATAGTTTTGGAACTAAAGAGAGGATGCCTTGACAGACTATGTGAAGAATTTAGAAGGTTACTTTTTGAGATGGTAGCTGTTATAGAATGCTTGACCAGGATTGAGGGAAGAAGGACTTATTTTGCTTCATGATTTCAGCCCTATGTTTAGGGAACGTAGACAGAGTTGGTGTTGGGAGGGCTATGTGGCAGACGCTCAGTACATCTTGACAGACCAGGAAGTGGAATGAGGGATTGGAAACAGGGCTGGGCAGTAAACCCTAAGACCCCATTTTCTCAAAGGCTCCACAGCCTCCTAAAGCAGTGCTACAGTTGGGAACCAAGTCTTCAGACATGAGCCTCTGCGGGCATTTCATGGTCAAGTGGTAATAGTAGGTTTGCAGTTGCTTGTTGACACCAGAGGTGCACATAGTTATCTTGTTGGTGATGGATTGTGTATTTGTGTATTGCTAGAGAACCGTTGCCTACTATGTTCAGCATGCTGCACCCACTAGATGAGATAACTCCACTTGTTTGTAAATCTGGAAGTAAGTGCACTTTTATATTCTTTTATGTAAGCTCTGTTTTGACATTGAGGGCATTGATGAAGGGAGGAAGTAAAGTTTATTTTAAAAGTGACTTGTTTTACTAGAAGGTAATTTAAGCATATTATAAAGTAACTTTTATCATGAAAAATAACTCACTGACAGCAAGGACAACAGTTATCTCAGCAAAGCCAAGGCATATGTATCACTGAGGAACACTGACATTTGTTAATTTACTTGTAGGTGTTCTTTAAAAATAAGAAAATGAATGATACTTGGATGAACTAAAGTTTTCTTTCTTTCTTTTTTGTTTTTTTGGTTTTTTGAGACAGGGTTTCTTTATATAGCCCTGGCTGTCCTGGAACTCACTCTGTAGACCAGGCTGGCCTTGAACTCAGAAATCTGCCTGCCTCTGCCTCCCAAGTGCTGGGATTAAAGACATGCACCACCACTGCCCAGCAAGTTTTCTTTTTTTAAGGGAGCATTCATAGGTCCTGATTGTTGGATACATTTTAATATTCACTATCTTTGTTGAAGATTCCTAGGGTTTTCACTTTGAATATTTCTAAAGTATTGCTGTATGCTTGGCCTTAAATTTAGGCTTTACAACACAAAAATAATAGACTGAAGACTAGAAGGACATTTAGAGTCTTTTGGTCATTTTACTTTTGCATTACAATCCCCATTGAGGTGTTATCTTTTGATCATGAGTCCAGTAGCCACTGGCTAAACTAAGCCTGTGTCCTGTTTTAGTAAGTCACACCAGCTCTCTTGAAAGGTTGTAACAAAACAAAACAAAACAGATAGTTGATCATGTAGGATGTTATGAGTAATACATAAAACCGTAAGCATAGTACATAAGCACAGTAAAATTCTAGTTTGATAAAAATTGATTGTGGTGGTATGCACCTATAGTCACAGCTACTGCTGAGCCTGAGGCAAGAGGATTGCTTGAGACTAGCACTTTGGGGGCAGCCTGGGCAACACGGGAAGATTTTTGTCTCTCTCTCTTAAAAGATTTTATTATAGTTTTTAGTGTGTGTGTACCCAAGTGTGGGTATGTCCACTTGAGTTCAGATGCCTGCAGAGGCCAGAAGACAGAATTGGGTCCTCAGGGCTGAAGTTAGAGGCAGTTGCAAGCTATTTGACTTAGGTGCTAGCAATTGAACTTGGGTCTTCTGCAAGAGCACCAAGCAGTCTTGATGGCCCAGCTATCTCCAGCCCCATTCCTCCCTCTCCTAAAAAGAAAAGCCCTCTAACTTTATTATCCCGCTGTGTAGACTTCTTAACTCTATGTAGAGTTCTAGGCTGGCCTGAAATTCACAAGAGATCTGCCTGCTACTGTCTCCTGATTGCTGGGATTAAAGGTGTGTGTTACCATGCTTGGCTAGTTTTATTATTTATAAAAAAAAATTTTTCTGTTTCAGAAGAATAATCATATTTTTCTCATCTCCCAGTGTTTTAATTGAGAATGAAACAGTCAAGGATATGGAACCTGGTTTGTGATGGTATAGAAAAATAACTGGACTCAGCTAGAAAAACTTCGTTTGTTATAAGTAAAACACATTGTTCACCACTTCTGGGTTATTACAGAGGACAGAATAGAACCAGTGAGCAAGTCAGGCATTTCCAGCAGATGATTGTAATCTCTAAAATAGTTGATTGTTGGCTGGATATTGTGGTGTGTGCCTTTAATCCCAGCACTTGGGAGGCAGAGACAGGCAGATCTCTGAGTTTGAGGCCAGCCTGGTGAATATAGTGAGTTCCAGGGCAGCCAGAACTACATAGTGAAATCCTTTCTCAAAACCAAACCAAAACAAAGCACCCTTTGCTTCTGGCTGATGAGTTTAATAACAAATCAGGACAAATCTTCAACGTTTGTGTTATACGTGTGTCAGAGTGGACCAGTCATTATGTCTTGTTTAATGCATTTAAGGAAGTTGACAATTTAAAATTTGTTGTTAGCTACATAACACTGAGTGAGTTTTGTGCTTTAATTGGCCTGATTCTCTTTCCTTTTAGGAACAATGAGAACATTCTTCTTAACTCTTTAGAACCTAATGCCACTATTCTGTCCCTGGTCATTGCCATTCTGATTTTTAGGTCTTTTCGGCTCATCTCGGGTGCAGTATGTTGTAGATCCAGCAGTGAAAATTGTGTTTCTGAGCACTGATCCCTCTATTGTAATGACCTACGATGCTGTTCAGAGTGTGCATTCTGTGTGGACTCTCCGGAGGGTGAAGCCAGAGGTGAGGGGCCTGAGCCTGCTTCTTCCCTTGACAGAGAGGGAACCCTGAACACTTGCACATTTTTGAGATCAGTTGAGTTTCTTTGGTAAAGAACAAGCCCCTTTGTCTTTAATAACTGCCATCTACATGCATTTTCAAGATAATTTCAAGGAAATTGCCTCTTTGTTCTGATTGTTTACTTATTTTTCCTATTCCTTTGACTTAAGGAAGAGAATGCTGTTTTAAAGTTCCCTGAGCAGGCAGGGACCCTGCATAACGCAGCTACTAGCAGCTCCCTGACAGCACATCTCAGAAGCCTCTCCAAAGGCGAATCCCCTGTTGCTTCTCCGTTCCAGAATTACTCTTCCATTCACAGCCAGAGTCGCTCAGCCTCTTCACCCAGTCTACACTCCCGGTCGCCTTCCATTTCCAACATGGCGGCTTTAAGGTGGATGTCTGTCTTTGTTTTAAACAAGATAACTGGAACAACAGATACCTGCTGTTTTAGCTCTCGTGTTTTGAAGGATTTAAGGTTTCTATTGACAACTCTTGGACAGTTTTTAGGGATGATAGGCAGAAACCCATCTGTGGCTACTTTAAGACTTGTAAATCCATGATGCCCCAGTTTCCCGTATCACATTTAGAACCTGTTCGTGCTACTATAAGATTAATTTGTTTCTTCCATGAGGTGGCAGCACTTAATAAGCTTTTAAGCACTTGATAAGCATTTAATTCTACAAATATTTTGTTAGTTTTTTAAACCTTAATTTATAATTTTTTTGTTTTATTTTTGATAATTAATATGTGTACCTACATATCTTTTTATTGACATAGATGCACATGGATGATGCTGCGTGGACAGTTTGGCTAATTTGTGTATGTCTGAAAGTATAGCAACATACTTTAGACCTTTTTGAATAATTATTTTCATATATATACATATTTATACATACAAAATGTATATATACATTTAGAACTGAAATATATGTATATGTGACACATTTAGAACTGAAAATGAGTGTATTCTTCAGAAAATATCATTTAAGTATTCATTTTGTGTGCGTGTGTGTGTGTGTGTGTGTGTATGTGTGTGTAGCTTTGGCTGTCCTGGAACTCAGTGTGCGGATCAAGCTGGCCTAGAACTCAGAGATAACTGCCTGTCTCTACCTCTTTGATGCTGGGATTAAGGCCTTGCTTCTTTAAGCCTGGTGTGAGTGCATTTTAACACAGGTTCTAAATAAAGTTTTAGGCTATCATAAAACACATTAGGGCAAAACATTTAAATAGCTGTTCAACTCTGAGAAGTCTGTATCACTGGGGATTGTAGCATAAGTGCTTCCTGAGTGTAGGAGTATAGACTGTTAACGGCATGTGTTAGAAACTCAAGCTACTCAGAGTGATACCCTCTTTGTTTATTTTGCAGCCGTGCTCACTCTCCTGCCTTAGGTGTGCACTCTTTCTCAGGGGTGCAAAGATTCAACTTTTCAAGCCACAATCAGTCACCAAAGAGACACAGTATTTCTCACTCTCCGAGTGGCAGTTTGAACGACTCATTTTTGGCACCAGAAACAGAGCCAATTATTCCTGAGCTGTGCATTGACCACTTATGGACTGAGACACTTCCAAATATAAGGTTTGGTGGATATAATTTTATGTTCAAACAAAAATATTACTGGTGTTTTTGGAAGATGTTTGGTGTTATGCCTGGTGGTTTAGCTCAGTGGTAGAGTGCTTGTTAAATACGTGTGAATTTTTTAAAGCATCCGTCAACATCAGGTATGGTATTAACACATAAACTATGAGAGATGCATATTTATACCACCTTAATTTTAGAATAGATTATTGATACTAAAGTGATCATAAAAATGTTTTGTCATCAAATATTTCTTTGATAGTAATCTTTGAGGTTTGAGATGTTTGAAGTTCTGGGGTAAAGCATCTAACTCTGTCCTGTTGTAGTCAGGCTTTTATTGCTGTGAAGACACATCATGACTGCAGCAAAAGTTATAAAGGAAAGTGTTGAATTGGTGCTTACTTACAGTTTCCGAGGGTCAGTCCATTATCATGTTGTATAAAGCAGACAGGCCTGGTGCTGGGACAGTAGCTGAGAGCTTTATATCTGATACATAGATAGTAGAAGGAGCAAGACACTGGGCCTGGAGGAGGCTTTTGAAACCTTGAAGCCCATCCCTAGTGACACACTTCCTCTAACAAGGCTAAATACATCTCCCAATCCTTCCCTGATGGCTCATCAACTGGAGACTAAGCATATAAGTTTGAGCCTGGGACAAGTTGGATTGGGGGTGGGCCAATCTCATTTAAATCATCACATGTAGATTCAGTAATTTGAGATTTTATAGCAAGATGTAGTAAACTTTATTTTTGTGTTAAATGTCAGCTCTACTTTTTGAGAAATAACTCTTATCTTTCTATGATCTCATTGATAATTTGTTAATTCAGCCACATGCCAGTGTGTGTGCTAACAAGGCAGTTTAGTGATTGTCCAACACGTAGCTAAAGGTAGTGAACTGGAGCACTTACTATTCTGCAGGTAGAGTTTGGGATCCAGAGAGTGAGTGTGAGTCACAGAGGAGGGGACAGCCTGATTCTGAAGAAGTGTGAGAGAGTAGTTGCCGTGTGGGCTTGCTTACATGTGCATAGAAAACAAACAGCAGCACGGTTTGCTGGTGAGATGCAGCAAGACAGGTAAATTAGGATTTAAAGAGTAGTGAGCTTGAGGTCCCTGGGGGGCCTGTGTGGTTCTGTTAATTGTGGACTCTTTAGGTGATGGTGGTGTGTGTAGTGTAAGCTTTTGCTGGGCAGGGTCTTTAAACATTTACTCACTCTTGACATTAGTCTGTCACTTCCTAACAAGCTAGAGCTGAGTGGTGGACTTGGAGGTGGATGAGGAGAGCTGCTGCAGAGAGACAGAGGAAATGACATCTAGTGAGAGAGAGGAACAACAGGGACATCACAGCACACAGGCATTTCAAGAAGGAAGTAGTGCTAGTATTTCCAGGTGCTGGTGCTGTTTGCCCTGACTTTTGACCTCAGGGGAGGTGTGTTGACAACAGTCACCTCACTTACCTTAGGCTTGAGGAGTGGTAGGGAAGCATGGTACAGCAGGCAGAAGGGAGGTGCAGAAGTGAGCACAGACTTAGAGAATGCTTTGAGGTGCTGCTTAATGGTGTTTTACATTCTTTCAACTATGTAATAAAAAGTAGTCTCTGAATTTCACCCAGATTTGTCACTTTGTATATATAAAAGATGAGTGGGATTTTTTTTTTAACCTAGCCACATAACCCTAGCCATAACTGTGGAAATGGTTGTTTAGTTAGATAAAAAAGAAAAAAGCCACTCTTTTTTTTTTTTTTTTTGAAAAAAGCCACTCTTATTCCTTGTTTTTTTTTTTTCTCATGGTGTGTGTGCACTTGCAGATATAGTTGCACTGTATGTACCTGTGGAGGTCTGGTGTTGATATCAGGAGTCTTCCTTCATTCTGTACCTTATTTATTGAAGCAAAGTCTCTTAATTGAATCCAGAGTTGACTGGTCTGGCTAGCCATCCTGCTCCTGGAACTCTTTGTCTCTGCTTTCCAAGTACTGTATTTACACTTGGACTGCATGCTTATTTAACCTCTTGTATCATCCTCTTTAGGCCGTAGTGTAGTCAGAGACTTAACATGAGAGCACTTGAGTAGGCCTACTCAAAGTAGAGAAAGTATTGTCCGTATAGAGAAAGGACACGATGGATAAAAGGAAATCCGAAAGTGGAGAGATTAGTTTTAGAAGTGATAGTTTATCACAGACACAGAATATGGAGTGTTTGTGTCTGGTTATTAGTCGATCCAGGAAATACTTAGCTTTCTTGTAAAATGCTTTCAAACATTTTTAAGTTATTGAGGTGGAGTTTTGGACTAATACTGACAGTTTAATAATGTGTCTACTTTAGAGAGAAAAATTCTCAAGCCTCCAAGGTATTTATAACAACAGACCTTTGTGGACAGAAGTTCTTGTGCTTTTTAGTGGAGGCCCAGCTTCAGTTACGGTAAGTGTTAATACTGCCCAGGACCTCTGAGGAAATTTCGAGCTGATTCCCTCTCCCTTCGGTTTGTCCTCTGTAGCCTTACTGAGAAGTAGGCTATATATCATAAGATCAACCTGTCTTATCCTGAGTTTCAGTAAATCTATAGAGGTGTGTAGCTACCAACCACTACATTTCAGACTTAAACACTTCTATCACCATGGAGATTTCCTCTGCCATTTGCAGCTAGTCTTGCCCTGCTCCAGTCTCAGGCAGCCATTCTAGGGGGCTTTCTGCCTTGTGTTTTGATTTTCTATGGAAATTTAATGTAATCTATAATTATATATGTTTTTAATTTTTTGTCTTTTTTTTTTTTTAAATTTTGTATTCCTGGCTGGCCTAGAACTTAGATCTGTTCGAGTACTGGAATTAAAGGCATTTGTCACTACCATACCCTGCTCTACACATTTTTTTTTTTTTTTGATTAACTTTTTCACTTTTCACAGTGAGTTCTAGGATCCACCCTGTTGGGACACATCTGAGGACTCCCTCAGTGTTACTATATAGTACTCTGTATATAGATAGGTCACGTTTACCTGCTTACCAATTCATGGATAGTTTGTTTACCTCACTGTGTGGCTCTGGATGTTCTGAAATTCTGTGTGGAAGAAGCTGGCTTTAAGCACACAGACCTGGCTGCCTCTGCCTCCCTCTGGATTAAAGGCGTGTGTGCCATGATGCCCACTTGTTTTCACTGTTTGACCACTGTGACTTAGGAACCTGTGGGCAGATATCTTTGTATGGACATATGTAATTCTGCTTTTCTTGGGTAGACATCTAGCAGTGGAATTGTTGGATTGACTGATAAATTCAAGTTGAACATTTCAAGCAATTGGCCAGTTAATTTCCAGATAGGCTATACTATTTTGCATTTCTTCCTCCAATGTGTGAGGTTCATGTCTTTATCCTAAACAGTGTTACATGGTGTCAGCATCTTTGATTGTGTCCGCCCTAATGAAGCATCAAGTGGTTTCTATTTATATTTCCCTGATGCTTTTTAAAATGAATTATTTAGCATGTATATATGTTTTGCCTGCATGTATGTCTATGTACTGTGTATGTGCATGCCTGGCACCCCACAGTGGTTCTTGGCAGAACATGTCAGATCCCCTGGAACTGGAGTTACAAGTGGTTGTGAGTTGGTATGTGGATATTGAGAACCAAACGTCATTCCCAAGAACAAGGTTGTCTGGAAGAGTAGTCAGTAATCTTAACCTTTGAGCCATCTCTCCAGCCCCTCCCTGATACTCTTGATATTGGTCGTTTTCTCATGTGCCTAATAGCCACACACTTACCTTTATAGAGTAATGCCTCTTTACATGTTTTATCTACCCACTTACCTTCCATTTAGGAATTACTATAGCTTATAGCAAGTTGCAAAATTATAGAGGCCCTTCTATGTCATGAAGTTTTTATAAATTTAAACATTGTGTGTGTGTGTGTTTATCTTACGGCATTGCTGTGGAGGTCTAAGGGCAAGTTGGAGGAATCTGTTCTCCTTCACTGTGGATTTCACCCAGGCTGTCAGGCTATACCTGCTGAGCCTTCTAGCTCCCTGGCCCCCATGTACCTTTTTTCTCCAAGTGGGTAGCATGTTTTTAAAATCAGGACACTGGTATTAATATGACCCCCATATCTTTCTTTTGTTTTACATGTATTCATTTGTGTGTATATTTATATGGATTCAAACAGTTTTCTTATATCTGCAGATTTGCATAATAGTCATAACATCCCATACTGTCTGTCTTCTTGCTCCCCAACTATAGTGCATTCAAGCGCTCGCTCTCATTCGCGCCCCCCCCCCCCCCACAAGGTTCCTCTGTGTGTATCCCTGACTGTCCTGGAACTTGCTATGTAGTCCATGCTGTTCTTGAACTCAGAGATCTACCCACTTCTGCCTCCCAAGAGCTGAGATTCAAGGCATACACCACAGCGCCCAGCCTGCAGTACACTCTTACAATTCATTTTTTTGTTTGTTTTGTTTTGATTTTCATATTTAGCTGTGTAAAGTTTCAAGAGAGTAATGACAAGACCCAGCTTATCTTTGGCTCTGTCACCAGCATACATGCAAAAGATGCAGCCCCAGTGGAGGTAAGCACACAATGAAATTGTTATGGTTTCTCAGAGTTATTCCGGAAAATTATGTTAATTTACTCAGAATACAAGAGACTTTGTGTTTTGTTTTGTTTTTTTTTTTTTTTTTTTTAGAAGATAGACACCATGTTGGTACTAGAAGGCAATGGGAACCTGGTGCTGTACACAGGAGTGGTTCGGGTATGTTGAAATCAGTGCTTTGTGCTTTTGGTAGAACTGCCTCCATGTTTACAGTTGGCTCTGCTGCTTCTGTGCAATTTGGAAAAACATTCCTGTGGAAAATGAAGCTAATTGTGGAGGCCAGTCCTAATTTGGATTAAGGTTCACTGTTAAATGCATTGACAGTATGCACCTGTAATCTTCAAGTGGGAAATTGTGTATAGGTAGAGTCTTAGAAACCAGTTTGAGAATGGAAGGTGAGCAGCTTAGGGAAGGAAGCATCAGCATTGCCGCAGGATTGTATTATCCTAAGTGTTATATGTGTTAGTTGCAGCTTCTTTTTGTAACATTTGTCAGGTTTAAAAATATATGCTTAAGCTGGGTATGGAGGCACACATCTGTAATTGCGGCACTTGGGAGGCAGAGGCGGGTGGATGGATCTCTTTTGAGTTCAAAGTTAACCTAAACCGAAGAATGAGTTCCAGAACAACTAGAGTTACATAGTGAGACCTTGTCTCAAGAATTTAAAAATAAATACATAAGTAAATAAAAATATCTACTTAGTTTAAAGAACAGTAAAGGAAATGTATTATAAGTTTATTTTTTTTCTATTAAATTATTATTTAAGGCAGGGTCTCACTAAATAGCACAGGGCTTAGGACCTTCCTGACCTGGCCTGCCAGTAGCTTTATTATGTTCTCTAAATGCAACTGCCACCTTCCTCTCCAATACACTATCCTGACATTTTCAATAAACTGCCTCTTGATTTTATTGTTAGCTTTGCACTTATGTACATGTCACTAAAGATCAGTTTGTTTACTTTTTTTGTTTTTGAATTTTCATATAAAGGAGTTATATATGAATCTTGATATATTTTATTAGAGTTTATATACTATATTTATATATTATCTTCAGCTTTTGTGCAAAAATGTTTGCTAAATCAAACAAAAAATTTATACTGAGGTATTCACAGTTGGTTGGTAGAATTTGAGTGGTTGCTAAATGTGCATTTTGCTTTTCAGTTGTATTCAGTGGACATGAACTTCAGTGTATGTAAAGAACTTTTAGCTTATGTGCCTAAAGAGACAGCTTAAGGTGGTGCACTCACTGACACCTTCCCTTCATCTTTTTATTACTCAAAGGTGGGGAAAGTTTTTATTCCTGGACTTCCGGCTCCTTCCTTGACAATGTCCAGCATGATGCCTCGGCCCAGCACCCCGCTCGATGGCGTTAGCACTCCAAAACCTCTGAGCAAATTACTTGGATCTATGGATGAGGTAAGAAGTAGGTTAGGTCTTGTCAGACGTTAACTGTGGTTTGAAGAGTTTTGGTATCCTAGTATTAGCTCTTTCGGTGGTTACCTTAAGTTTAGGTAATACTTACAAATGCATGGTTTTGAGCACAAGTGGTAGATACTGCATGCTGACCTTCTTTGTGCTCTGAGATGTTCTTTGAAGATGTGGAGAGATGAAAAGGATACACTTTTTAAAGTATAAAGATCTCACAATTTCTCAGGATATAGTAGATATGTGTTCTGCATAAGAAATCATGATTTAGGGTAGCCTGTTAAGAGTTACAACTGGGGCTGGAGAGATGCCTCACCAGTTAAGAGCTGGCTGCTCTTCCAGAGGACCTAGGTTCAATTCTCAGCACAGGCAGCTCACAACTGTCACAATTCCCGTTCAGGGGATCTGGCATCCTCACACCAATGCATACAAAATAAAATTAAATTATTTTTAAAAGGTTATGTGAGGGATAGAAGCTGTTAATGCTCCTCCATTCACTGAGCAGACTCCTGGGCTGAATCCTTTTTTCTTCCATTAATTTATTTTTTTATTCACTTTCTATCTTGGTCACAGCCCTCCCCCAAGTCCCCTCTCTCACAGCTCTTCTTCCTACCCGCTCCCTTCTCCTCTGAGAAGTGAGACCCCGTCCCTCCTCCCCCACCTGCTGCCAAGGTATCAACCCACCCTGGCACATCAAGTAGGACACTGTAGGACTAGGCTCATCCTCTCCCATTGAGGCCAGACATGGCAGCCCAGTTAGAAGAATGGAATCTACAGGCAGGCAACAATCAGGGGCAGGCCCTGCTCTAGTTGTTGGGGGACCCGCATGAAGAGCAAGCTGTACTTTGGCTACATATTTGCAGGAGTGTGGGGGGCTAGATTTACCTCATACTTTCTCTTTGGTTGGTGGTTCAGTCTCTGAGAGCCCCCAAGGGTTTAGGTTGGTTGCCTCTGTTGGTCTTCCTGTAGGGTCCCTATCCCTTCAGGTCCCTCAGTCCTTTCTCTGACTCTTCACAAGACTCCCAAAAGCTCCTTCTAAAGTTTGGCTGTGGATTTCTACATCTGTTTCCATTGGCTGCTCGATAGAACCTCTCAGAGGACAGTTATCCTAGGTTCCTGTCTCTAAGCATAGCAGAGTATCATTAATAGTGTCAGGGATGGGTATCAAATTGGGCCAATCATTGGTTACTGGCCTGAATCTTGAGGATTAGAAGGGTAAATAAAGGACCGACCGTTCAGGGCAAGGACATGAACACAGGAAAGTTCAAAAGACTTTTTCTGAGACTGTTACATGTAGTGTCCATGCTGGCCTTAGACTTGCTGTATACACTTTAATAACCTTGAGCTCCTGATGTCCCTGCCTTCAGTCAGTCAGTGCTGGGATTACAGGTATCTACTACCATGTAGCTAGAAGATCTTTTAATCCATGTATCTCCATCTCTTAACACATAAGCTAAAGACTCAGCAGATCTGTGGAATGAATAAATAGTATGTTGGGCGGGGTAGAACAGAGAATGGGATGATAATAATTAATAATAATTATTATTTTAAAATTTTCTACATGCTAGGAACTGTCTGCTCTATCAGTATTTTTCCTTGGTCCTCACTTTATAGGTGAATGCACAGAGGTACACGGAACTTAGTTGTCCAAAGTTAGAGAGCTGTTAAGTGGTAGAACTGGGGTCCACACCCTACTAATGTGTTTTTGAAGAAGGTGGGTGAAAAGATACTGTTCTGAGTGCAGTTCCCTGGCATTGTAGGTTTGTGAGAAGTTCTTCATGTTCTTATTTGTTTTAGGGTTGAAGCTAGGAAGGTCAAGTGAAGTCTGTGTAGAAGAGAGATGAAGAGGGTCTGAGCTTGGTGTGTGTGTAGGAAGGGGGAGAGCGCCATGGCAGGCCTGGAGAGTGTAAATGAGAGGGCTGGCCAGCAGCGTTTACTCTCTTAGGCTGTTGAGTACTACTGAGGAGTGAGGCTGAGTTCTGTGAGCAATGTAGGCTGCTGCCTGTGCTCACCAGACTAGAAAGCCCAGAGACAAGTGGTCTACATTTGAAGGACGTCATAATGTGGATATGTATATATGTTGTCAGCAGATGCTTTTTATTATTTTCTGTGAAGAGCTTGGCCTGCTGCAGGTTCATCGTTACTAGAACAGAATGATTGGAATCATCAAACCATATGCAAAAATGCAGCTCCTTGTCTTTAATTCTCAGAAAGTCTTTTTATATGTGTTGTATTGTGACTTTTTATAGGTGGTTCTATTGTCTCCAGTTCCAGAACTGAGGGATTCTTCAAAACTTAATGATTCTCTCTACAATGAGGATTGCACATTTCAGCAGCTTGGAACTTATATTCATTCTGTGCGAGACCCTGTTCATAACAGAGTCACTCTAGTAAGTCCCCCTCCAGAGGGTAGAGTAGCTGGCTGATCCTTCAGAGGGTGGAGTAGCTGGCTAAGGGATATTTGCCTGATACTTCCTAGTTGGCAGGATGTAAAATTATGTGTGGAAATGAGAGTGAACATTTCTCATGATTTTAAACATTTATCACTGTTACATGGTGTGCATATGTATGTGGGTATGCATTCATGTGGTCATGACATGGGTGACCACAACTTTGTGGAGTTGGTTCTCTCCTTCTACCTTCATGTGAGCTGTAAGAACTGAATGCAAGGTGCCAGGCTTTAACTGCTGAGTTGCTTTGTCATTCATATAGCTCATAATTTTTAAAACATGCTATCATTTTGTACTATTTTACTTTAATTCTATTTTTATTTTCCGAGATTTCTATATTAAACATTTACTGAGCCCCAACCCCAATTGAGGAGCTGTGGGGAGTGGATGATTTCTAGGGGAGGGAAGGTCAGTTTCCTTTAAGGATGTGACCCTGGTAGGATAACCACCCATCAGTGGATTGCTCCACATCCAGGAGTTGATGGATAGCATAAATTGGACTTGATAGTTTGTTAAGAGAAAGGAGAGAGGACAGGAAGTTGGGGGTTGGGGAAAAGGAGGAGCCTCGAGGAGTTGGAAGTGACTGTGATAAAAAGACATTGTACGAAGTTCTCAAGTCCTTAATAAAAGCATTTAACAAGTTTATTTAAAATAAGCATATTTAATCCATCAATTCATATTGCTGTGCTTTTGAAAGTCACTTTTTGATGATGTCTCATAGTGTTTGGATAAAAACATGATTAAAACAATTTTGAAAGTATTTTGTAAAACTGCATAGTTAGAAGCATTCCTTTGTCATTGAAAACTATAGCAGTTCATTTTACTGTATTTTGCCTTGACAGGCAGACAGTAGTAAAATTACCATTTTTTAAAAAAGCCTTTAAAAACTTAGAATGCTTAAGAGTTGGTTTTTTTGTTTCCATTCTTTTCTCTAGGAACTGAGCAATGGCTCCATGGTTAGGATCACTATCCCGGAAGTGGCAACCTCGGAATTAGGTACTGTGCATTCTCAGTTTACCACACTCGGAGACAGTTTCTGTTCCTGATTTTTTTTTTTTTTTTTTGTCTGTAAGTACACATGAGTACAGTGCCCATGGAGGTCAGAAGAGGCTGTCAGGTCCCCTCAGACTAGAGTTAAGAATGGTTGTGAGCTGCCATGTGGGTGCTAGAAATTGAACCCAGGTTCTCTACAGGAGCAGCCTGTGCTCTCTCGACTGCTGAACCATCTCTCCAGCCTTCAGTGTCTGTTTGTAGGAGTGATTCCTTTGCAACATCTGGTTTACTCTTGTTTTGTTTTCAGCTAAAACATGCCTTTTTGGTTTTCTAAGATCTATCGACATATGCTTCTAGTCATACAGCAGAGTGATGAAGCCGTGCTGCTAAAGATGGAGTCTGTGACAGTGGTGGGACAGGGAACAAGAATGAAAAGTTTGACTCTAGAGCCATTTTCTCTAGACAGTGAATCTGTGCTGTTTACAGCAGGCCGTACCCTTGGCTCCTTACTGTAGCCGATGTTCACACCGATGACTTGGCAGAACTGAGAACAGTGTATATACTAGACAGTGTTTGCCCTAATCCGCTTATGGCCTGGTGAGGGAAGACATTTTAGAAATTAAAAGTTGGAATTTTAGTTGACAGGAATGTTCACTCATTTAGAACATCTTGCATTTATCCCTAAGCACTCCTGTTAGTAGGCGCCTGTGTTGCATGTTGAATCTACTGAAGGATTTAATCCATATTTCATATACGTTTATTGGTGTTGAAATTAGATGTTTTTGGAGGCAGAGGCAGGTGGATTTCTGAGTTTGAGGCCAGCCTGGTCTACAGAGTGAGTTCCAGGATAGCCAGGGGCTACACAGAGAAACCCTGTCTCGAAAAACCAAAAAAAAAAAAAAAAAAAAAAAAAGGAGTACAAATTAGATGTTTTTTATAAAGTAAACTTGATTGTTCAAACTAGGACAGTTTTGAAAGTGAGAAGGGAACAGTTATTTCCTGGAGCAGTGGTTGTAATCAGGGTTATTTCTGATGAACTGGGCTACATGCTCACCTTATTTCTAATCCGGAACTGGGGATCTGACAGCTATCCTCAGACTTCCTGTGAGGCCTGTTGAATTCAGTAGTTAGGTTAAAGTGATTGACAGTGATGAGGTAATTTTTATGCCCAATAGACTCTTTAGTGACAGTTTCTTTTTTTAGTGGCTGGCCTTGACATGGTGGCAATGTCAACCTTCCCATTTGAAAGGAGGGAGGAAGTATATAGGAAGCATACTAAAATCAGTGTTTGCTTTTAATAGTACAAACGTGTCTGCAAGCAATTAAGTTCATCCTGCCAAAAGAAGTAGCAATCCAGGTGCTCGTCAAGTGGTACAGTGTGCACAGCGCTCCAGGAGGACCCAGTTGTCACTCAGAGTGGAGTTTATTTGTGATTTGTCTCTTGAACATGATGGGTTATAACACAGACCGCTTAGCATGGACCCGAAGTGTAAGTAATTACAGTTGTTTCTTCATTATCCTGTTACAAATGCAGGGCTTGTATAACTGGGTGCATAACACTGAGAGAACCTAACAAACTTATAACAGGTAAGCCTTAGAATATGTTGGGATAATACTAAGGCTTATTGTCCTATATAGCATGAATCAAATACTCAGTAGGCTTTGAGTCTTTATAAACAATGTGTTAAAGCACATTTTACCTCTGTTTTTCTTTTCTTTTTGTCTTTTTTAAAGTCAAGATCTTACTGTGTACATAGCCCAGGCTGATCTTGAATTCACCACATTCCTGACTTTGCCTCCCAAGTGCTGGGATTATAGTTGTGTATTACTGATGCCTGATTTTGACTGTTTCTTGGTTACCTTTGTAAAATGACTTAAGTAGACTGCTTTGTTTTGTTGGTAGGTAAAGCAGGGAGGTCACAGGCTTAGCCTTAGAACACTGTTAGTGGTGTAAGGCTGTCTGCCTCACTCAGCCTTGGCTGAGTACACAGATGGTTTACAGACTCACCAGTGGAGTGCCTTCAGTGTGGGTGTGCTTGTTCTTTTGGAGAGCATTCTTCAGTTTCTCAAGCTTGGGACTCTGAAGATGTTACTATAGAATATACTCAGCCTTTGGTCCCCTAAACTCAGACCTACTCACCTATGTGTTTTAGTCTTATGCTGGTACCTCCATTTTTTTTTTTTAAAGCTTTTTCTTCTTCACTATGAAGGTTATTTTCTCACTGAGGAAGATTTGGAAAATGGAAAAAGCAAGCAATTATCTCCTGTTCCTCTGACTAGCTGTTGTAGACACTTTTAATGGTACTTTTTACATAAAAATGGTACTGACAGGAATTTGCAGATCCTTAATTTTTTTCACAGAACCATTCCATGTTATCATATATAAACAAATAGCTAATACTTGGGCCTTAGTGGAAAATTGCCTTATTTTGAGTAATTTGCCAGTGGTATTTTTTTTTAACACATATCTTGGTATCTTTCAAGAAATGAATCTTTTCTTTTCTTTTCTTTTTTTTTAAAGCAATTTTCTTATTTATTTATCTATTTATTTATTTATTATATATAAGTACACTGTCGCTGCCTTCAGACACTCATATATAAGAGGGCATTAGATCTCATTACAGATGGTTGTGAGCCACCATGTGGTTGCTGGGATTTGAACTCATGACTTCGGGAAGAGCAATCACTGCTCTTAACCACTGAGCCATCTCACCAGCCCTCAAGAAATGAATCTTTAAGACATTGGGCCAGATAACATTTAGAAGGGGTGTCTAGTCAATATTCTTGCTAGTATTGTTTACTACATTGATTATTTGTGATGTATTGACCCTTTGCTAGATCAAAGTAATACTATCTTATTTCTGTGCAAGTGGGAATGATTTTCTTTTCTCAGTCTCTCATTGGTCAACTAGATAAAGTAAACTAAATAAATATAACAAAATAAAGTATAACTTCAACTAAATGAAGTATAACTCTTGAGGTTTTGACTAGCTGTTTGTAGCCTTTTGCTTGTATTTGGTCCCTTCTTAGCTTAGCAGCCTGGTAAAGTCAGGTCATGTTAGTCACTCCTCTGGCTTAGACTCCTACAAAGACTTCCTGTCTCCTTCATGATATGAGCTGTGAAAGTGACTTGGAGGCTCACTGCCTCAGTCTGCTATCCTAGGCCTAGGCCTGGAAGCTTCTAGACGCCATTCACTCTTATCTAGACCTAGAGTGGTTTCAGCCTCTGAGGCTTACCTACTAAATAAGCTCACTCTTTTTAGCTTTTTCTGGCTCTGGCTGGCTGGTCAACAGCCGTTCTGGCTCAAACTGCTTTCCAAGCTGACTGATTTAATCTGGCTTCTTTTTCTGCCTCTCCTGAATTGTTCTGCTTGTTCTCATACTAATGTTGGCAATATGTAATATGTAATAATCTTCTGACTTCTTCTCGTTCTCTGGCTCTTTCTGCCTTCACCTGTGTCTAGCTTTCTGTGTTCAGCTGTCTCTGTAAAGTTCTCCAGGTAAAACTGCCTTATCCCTCCCTCCCCCACCTGCACTGCTCCCTCTTACAGCTTCCCTTTTCTCTCTTCTTATGAGAGTAAGGCATATTTTATTTTGTCAAATCTTTCTCTGATATTTGTCACTTTGTCTGCCACTCAATTACCCATCAGTTTCAAACACAAGGTGTGTCACTCTACAAATTAATTTTAGTTTCATTGTTTGAGATTAAATGCACGTTCTGTGGGTGTGTCTATATTCCAGCCTAGGGCTGAGCCACACCACAACTAAAAACAGGTTTGTTCGTTTTTTGTTTTTTGTTTTTTTTCCCAATAAATAACACAATCTTGGGATTCACAATGGGATCAAATATCTGGCAACAAGCAGCTGTCATGGTTATGGAGAGAATTTTAAAATAAACATTTATGAGTTAGTTTTGAATTTCTAGAATTTTGTTGGAAATTGCAATTTCCAGGTAACTTGATTAAATGACATACTGCCTACATGAATTTCTATAGAATGACAGAGTTCCTGAAGGTAAGTTTGGGAGTCTATTTTTTTGAGACCAAAGCTTAGGTCCTCAGTGGCCATCGAGTTTCATGGTGCCTATTTTCTATTTGCTTTGTCCAGACTTGTTTGTTTGTTATGCTTTCATTTCTATGACACTGTAGAAAGTGCTAATGACACCTTATGTGACTTTTGGTATTCTTATGCGTAGATATAATTTGCGTCATCAGGAAGTAGGAAGAGAAAGTAGGAGAGAAAAAAATGACCATTACTGTACCTCTGAGCCCAGGCACTGTACTGACTGCTTTACGTACTCTATTTAGCTTCATGAGCAGAATTAGGAGAGATTTGTATCATACTTTGTGGTGACAAAAGAGTGTCAGTGACTTTCTTTAGTTTCTGTAATTAGCAGAATGGATCCCGAGTCCTTAAACTGACTAGTTGACAACGATAAAGTCACAATTTTATCTTCTGCTTTGGGATTATGTTTCAGTTCGACTTTGAAGGATCACTTTCCCCAGTCATTGCACCCAAAAAAGCGAGGCCTTCCGATACTGGATCTGACGATGTAAGCATTGTTATTTCTTGCTAATGTTATTGGTCTGCGGAGACTTGTCCAGATGTATGTTCCTATCAGTTTGTTAGTTTTTCCTTTATCTTTTGTTGTATTTATTTTACTTCTAAGTGGGTTATTTTGAAGGATAAAATCTGTTATGTTTTCTGTTATTTACTTTTGTCTTTAATCGTATAAAATTACTATACATGTATATATTTTGCATGAGTTCAGCGTGGACTTCTGGATATTTTATTGGTAATCAATCAAGTATTTGACAGCGCTTACCGTTTTATGTAGCATTTCTCTGGCATATTCTGAAGTGGTCCAGAGCACAGAAAATTTTGTACTATCTCTTTGTTTATCTGTAATCAGTCCTTTTTCCCTTTTCCTCAATTAAGCCCTGCCTTGAATTCTTTGGCTACATGTTAGTTGTGCCTGTTGTAGAGTATGTTTTAAATTAAATAATACAGTCTATATTCCAGTATACATAAGGTTTCTTTCATTCAGTATAATATTTGGAGAGTTAGCCAGTTGTGTGTTCTTTTTATTGCTGAGTGGTGAGTCTATATTGTAGTTTGTTTTGCATTCTTTTTGTTGATGGTTATATTAGGCTATTCCAGTTTTGTTTTCGTTTTTGAGTGAAGATGCCTATGGGGTCCAGAGATGTTGGAACCCCTTTTGGAATTCGAGTGATTGTGAACCATCTGATGTGGGTTCTGGGAGCCACACTCAGGCCCTTTGCAAGAGTAGTATGCACTTTTAGCTGTTGAACCTTTCCAGCCTCCTGCTGTTGTCTTTAAATACCATCTCCAAGAGGCAGTATGTAAATAATTACATCCTTTCTTTTTCTTCTTAGGACTGGGAATACTTACTGAACTCAGAGTACCATCACAATGTTGAGTCTCATCTTTTGAACAAATCTCTATGTTTGACTGCTCTGGAAGTTTCAAAGGCAAAAGATGAAGATTTTTCACAGAACCTCAGTCTGGATTCTTCTACTCTTCTCTTTGGTCATATTCCTGCAATTTTCTTTGTTCTTCACCTGGTTTATGAAGAGCTCAAGTTGAATACTCTAATGGGAGAAGGAATTTGTTCGCTTATTGACCTCCTTGTTCAGTTGGCAAGGTAGATGTTAGAACACTGCAAGAGGTCCTTAGAGGACTTTCTTTCTATGATATGTCATAAGAACCTTGGTTGAAAAACTCTGCAATCTACCCTTCTCAGACCACTACAGCATTGTCTGCAAACCATAGAATTGTTAATACTGGATATGTGTGGGCCTTTAGCATTCTGAGATTCTTAGTTTTTATCTCAAGATTGGGGAAAGTCACAAGAAGCAGGTGACTGGCTGTGGGCTTTCTGCTCTGACAAGCTGCTTAGCTGTACTCTGGCTCCCACATTCTGTGACAGTGCCTACGTTAACATGCTGCTTTCCCGTGGAAAGTTGTGGCCATGGGTGAAGTGCCAAATGCTTGTCCTGCTGTGGCATTGGGGAGCCTCCGAGTGAGCTAGGCAGTGGCAGAGCAGATGCCAGTGTATGGCAGGAGTCGCCCCAGTGCTGCAGCTGTTTTCCTGTGATTCCCTGCAGGGGAAGGTGGTACTCACACTGTGCAACCTTGTTTGGGGAAAGAGGTTCTCACACTATAACACCTTGTTTGACACTGTACTCCTGAAGTCATACTTAGTATTTTTGTGACCCTTGGTGACAACTAAGTTAAAGTTGGCATTTCAGCCTCTTAATTAAGATGATAACACATTTTCTGACTTCTGTGGTACTGTGGGTCCTTAAATACTTTTTGAAACATGGCTTGTTTATTTGATGATCCATTTCTCTAATGGCAGATCATTATAAATTATAAATTATAAATTATAAATTCCATTTTGTAGTTTAATTTTTCTAAACCCTGATCATGGTTTTCTGAAATATGTAGCGCCTGTCCCTGTAACTGTGGCTGGCCTCAAACTTTTGATGCCTCTGCCTTAACCTTTCAAATTGTAGCATTTTCAGATGTGTGCCACTGTGCCCTGTATTTCCCACATACATGTTATTTATATATACACCTTGTAGTAGTCAAGAATAGTGGCACATAGCTGTTATCCTTGTGCTTGGAAAACTGCTGGAAATTCTGTACCTGAGGGAGACCATACTGTTTGAGGCAAAAAAAAAAAAAAGCAAAACAGATAACAGTCAAGAAGCCTCAGAGTGAGCTAGTAGTGTGTTTCTGTTTTCTGGAAGAAAGTATTGTGGTCTGTGGAAATTACTTGCATAAGATCACACAGCCAGGAAACAACAGGAAGGGGCAAGGTAGTGCTCTATCTCTAGTTTGACCTTCATAAAATTGGTCTAGTCATAAGATTGGATGTGTGACACCAGATACGTATGAAGGTATTCTAGATTTGAAAACCTCAAAGCTATGCTTTTTTAAATCAAAAAGTCAATCAAGGAGGCTGTAACAACACCTTTGTTCGTGTATGCTCTTAACATTCTAGGGACTTAAAACTGGAGCCTTACTTGGACCATTACTACAGAGATTACCCAACTCTTGTCAAAACTAACGGACAGGTGTGCACCATTGACCAAGGTGAGTGTTGACACCATTGCAGGTCTTCAGCGGACAGGCATTTTGTTGTGTCTTTGTCTCTGGGAAGAGCAGGAGATAGATATCTTGTGTCTTATTTTAGCCAAGTAGTTTTGAAATGGAAGCATTTGATTTCTGAGTTGAAGGAAGCCACAACTTCTTGAGTTTACCCATTCCAAAGCTTACTTAGCCTCTAATGCCAGAGACATGAACCTTCACCTGTGGTATCCAGTTAGTAGCCAAGGTCATATATTTGCTTGGCTTTAATTAACAGTAAAAATTTAGGTCCTCTTTGCACTAGCCACATTTAAAATACTTAGTAGTCACTAGGGCTAGGGGTTACCATGCTGGGCAGCACAAATGTAAGCTACTTACAGCATCACTGTTCCAGCCTACACTTGAACTGAAGGGGCTTAAAGAACAGAACCGAGCTGAATCTTTTGTGCCTCTTTGTTTTTTTTATCTTTATAGAGGTAGGCAGGGAGAAAGTTATGTTCTTTAAAAGCAATTTAAAAACTACTTTTATGTGTATTTTGCATGTGTATGGCTCATGTGTATGCATGTGGGTATGCATGTGCCATTACATATGTGTGGAGTGCAGAGAACAACTTCCTGGAATCAATTGTCTCCTTCTACCATGTAGACGTAGGGATTGAACTCAGGTTGTCGGGCTTGGTGGCAGGTGCTTTACTGAGCCATTCAGCAACTCTTCATATTCAGCTAGTTCTTCATATACTTTGTAAATGACATTGCTAAATTTCTATTTAGAATGGATAAAATAGAAGTAATTTAAATTTATAAGTAATGTAATCAGCTGTTTACTATGACAGGAATATGATTCATTTTGGATAATACTGAAAATGTAATTCTTACAGTTTGAAAGGACAAGTATTATGACCATCTTTTGTCTTGAATGTGTTTGTCTTTATAAATATTTCATATAATTTTAAAGGTCAGATGGGATTTATGCATCATCCCTCATTTTTTACTTCTGAGCCGCCAAGTATTTATCAGTGGGTGAGTTCGTGCCTGAAGGGCGAAGGAATGCCACCCTATCCTTACCTTCCTGGGATCTGTGAGAGGAGCAGGCTGGTGGTCTTGGTATGTATTTGGAGTATTGACTGATTATCTTATTTCTTTAAATTTTCACACATGCAGCACATACACTATTCATATTTATACACATACAAATTATAGTAAAAATCAGTGTTTCTTTCCCTGCATACAGTTCTATACATTTCAGCAGATAAATATTTTTATATAATTGCCATTTTAGTTACAATATTGAACATTTGTAGTAATGATTTTGGAGAGGAGGGGTTCCTCTCTTAAATACCTCTTTAAGTTGTTACATTTGCAACCGGATCCTAGCTTCTGTTGCTCACAGACCTCTACATACATGTTGCTTCCTGCTTATCTGATAGCTGGGTTGGTTTCAGTTGTTAGCGGTTATAAGTACTGATACTCTAAATAGTCACACACGGACCTTCATGTTAATGTACGTGTTCATCTCCTTAAGGTGAGTGAGGACTGAGACTGATGGATATACACTAAGTATATGCTCAGCTTTATAGAAGTTGCCAATTGTTTTCCAGAGTGGCTGATTGTTTCACAGTGCCTCCTGCAATGTTAAGAGATTGGTTCCTTCAATTCTTGTCCGTTATTTGATACTTCAGCTTGGCTGATCTGTGGTCATACCTCACTGTGCTCTTAAATTGCATTTCCTAGTGACTGTGGTGATGCTTTGAGGTTTCTGCTGTGGAGTTCTGTCCAGATGTGATTTGCTGCTGCTGTCCTGCTTTGTACTTTGTGTCATTGTTCTCCTAAGAAAGCATTTCTCTTTCTTGTCTTTTACGTAGCATCTTACCATGTAGATCAGGGTAGTCTTGAACTGGTGATCTTGCCTCAGCATCCAGACTGATATAATCCTGGGGAAATACTACCACCCCTGAGTTTTGTTACTCTCTGGATGTCTGTCTCTTTGTGACCATCTCTTTTGTATTTGTGCTTTTGTCAGAAGTCTGTTGAGTGCTTTTTTTTTTTCCCCCAAAAAAACTTTGGAGAAACATTTTTCCTGGTTCTCCACATTGTTTTCATTGCTATAGTTTTATAGTAAGCCTTAAAATTAGTTTGTGGTACTCTTCTTTCATTAAAATTGTCTTAACCTTTGCCTGTTTTATAATTACTTCACATATAATTATTAAAAGTCCTGGTGAAATATTTTTCAAAGATGTATCTTTATTTTTTGAAATGCTGTCTATCTTGAATAGTTAATGCAATCCTCAAACTGTGGCTATAGAACCACAGGGCTTTGGTAAAGTTGAGTTCCTCACTACAAATGCTTCTGTTTCTTGATGTTGGTTCAGGATATATATAGGCATGTTAGGGAGCTTTCCCAAAACGGGGTTTTCTCAGGCATACAAGACTCCTACTACTTTTATTCCCTCTTTTGAGAGTTAGAAAACTGAAAATATCCTTTTGTTTTTCCCTTCACTGTTCTGCTCTGTTCTGTTCTGTTCTGCTTCATGTTGAACAGGGCCTTCTCAATCCTCCATGGCTCCAGGTAGGGGGGTACACAAGGGTGGTTCCGTGTGTTTTTTAAGTTACATATGTAATCATCACCACCATCTTTCTCTACAGTTTTTCATCACCCAAATTAGTTTCATTTCCTGTTTCTATGATAAAACACCCTGAGAAAAGTAGCTTAGGGGGAAAAGGGGTTATTTGGCTCACAATTCCAGGTTATAGTCCATCTCTGGGGAGAAGACAAGGTGTCAGGAAACTGAAGCAGATGGTCACATCACATCTACAGTCAAGAGCAGAGACCAATGAATTAATGCTTATGTGTTTAGTTTGCACTCTCATTTTACATGGTCTGGGTTCCTCTGCTTAAGGAATGGTCCCACTGAATTGTATCAGTTAAGATAATCAGGATAATCTCTCAGACATTCTCAGGGGCTAACCTAAGTCTAGACAGTTACAAATGTGCCTAACTAACGGCTTGTCTTGTAGGTGTTGAGTCGACAGTACTCTGTAACTCAGGCAGGCTTGGACCATGTACCATTAAACAGTAATTTCTGTTCCTCTTCCCTTTGGTCCCTGATAACATCTGTCCTGGTTCTGTGAATTTAACGAATTAACATACCTCTTGTTGGAATACTGCTATAGCCCTTTGGGGGTTTAAGTGATTCGTGGAGATACTTATTAATAAGGATATTATAGCTTCATAGTTAATATGACTCTACAGGAAAAGTGGGAGGCAGAGATGGGAGGATCCCCACAAGCTTGCAGGCCCTGGTTTACACAGCAGTGAGTAAGAAGAGCTCCTGCTGGGCGTTGGGTGGTACCAGAGAGGGATGACTCAGTGGTTAAGATCACTTGGCTTTTCTTCCAAAGGAACCACCACTAAGAGACCCTGCCACAAGCAAGGTAGAAGACAAGAACCAACATCTGAGTTTGTCCTCTGGCCTTCACATATGTACTGTGCCATGTACATGTCCATAGTCACACATGAACATTCAATGGGAATATGCACCATATACACCACGCACTGTACAGAAATAATTTTCTAGTGGGTGATGTTAAGTTATTTGAATGGATATGCATTTTTTTTCTTGCTCTTGTTTTGAATATATCTGTTTCTTGAGAAATTAAAGACTGGGCTGAAGAGATGGCTCAGCAGTTAAGAGCACTGACTGCTCTTCCAGAGGTCCTGAGTTGAATTCCCAACAACTACATGGTGGCTCACAACCATGTGTAATGGGGTCTGGTGTCCTCTTCTGGTGTGTCTGAAGAGAGCAATGGTGGTGTATTCATATGCATAAATAAATCTTTTAAAAAAAATAAAAGCTAAATGAGATCCTTTGGGATAGCTAGCACTGTTAGGTACTGTTAGGGTGTGACTAGATGCCTGTAAGGATAATGAAAAACACGAGCATATGGAGCACCTGGAACTCTGCAGTTATGGGAATATAAGGATGCTCTAAACTTTTATAAATTTTAATGTGTATTTACCATAAGCCAAAGCAAATTTATTCTCTGATATGAAATATATGGTCACATAAAGACCAGAATATGAAGGCATAAAGCAGGTTTTTTTTTTTAAATAACTGATGGAAACTGGGAACAACCTGTGCGCCAATTTAAAAACATTTTTTGAAATAATTAATTTTATTTTGTGTGTGTCTTTTGCTTGCAAGTATACTATGTACCCTGTGTATGCAGTGCCCATGGAGGTAAAACATTGGCTCCCCTAGAACTGGAGTTACAGATGGTTGAGAGGCACCATGTGGGTGCTGGGAATTGAACCTGAATCCTCTAGAAAGAGGAACCAGTTCTCTTAATTACTAAGTCATCTCTCCATTTTCATCAACTCTTGAGTAGATGTACTAAGTTGGTACATCTCTGTAATGGATAAAACTCAGTATCAACAAAACAAGAGGGACAAATTACTGATTGTAGCATAAAGGAGATGAATCTCATGGCTGTGCTATGTTGTAAATTTAGAACTGGGAAGACTCCCATCTTTTTAACATTTGTGTAGAAGGATTTCGATAGAACATGAGGGTGGGCTGGGGTGGGGTGGGGTGAGGTGGTGTGGGGGGGGTGGTGTTTGGGGTATGATGCAGCTTTCTTTGTATTGAGAGTGAGAGTAGTCACCTGGTTGAGTAAGGTTTGCCCAAACTCACAATGTTGTGCCTCTGAAATGGTGGAGACTTCCCACACTATGCTTTCCTTTCTTTTACTTCAGTGGTTTAATAAGAACAGTTTCGTCTGGATGTGGAACACAGCCCTGTAATCCCAGCACTAGGGAGACAGAGGCAGGAGGCTCAGTAGTTTAAGGCCCGCCTTAGATTCATGGGGATTTTTAGGCCACTCTGGGCTACATGAGACCCTGTTTCATAAAGAAAAATAAGCAGAACAACTGAAGATTAAAAGTAAAAAAAACAAAACAAGTAACAAGTTCCTTTTCTCTGCAGAGTATTGCCCTCTACACCCTTGGTGATGAGAGTTGTGTTTCTGATGAAACTTCCCAGTATTTATCCAAAGTAACCTTAAGTAAGTTGTTAAAATGTTTGACTCCCACAAACAGAATATTAAGATGTTCATTAGTGCTAGCCTTAGAGACAACATCTTGCCTCTTGTATTACTATTTAGTCTATAATCACAACTGAATTTCAGATACGAGGTTACGTCAAATATGACAGACCTGGCTTCTGTGGCCACTGTGGCTGCATAGGACTGTTAAGTCTAAAGGAAATGGCTGTCTTCTGCAGCTTGCCACAGTACTGCTTGCTTTATTTTTAAAAATTTTGGTTAATGAATTCTTATTTCCAAATATCTTCTGCATGTTGCTTTTCTTACCAGGATGTCTATTAAAATAAAGTTTCCATTTGTTGCCTTTTAGCTCCCCAAAAGCCACAAGCAGAACAAGAAGAAAACAGGTAGTTTGTTTCAGACTGTGCTTTTCTATTGAAAGTTGGAAGCAATGTTGAGTGTTTGTGTTTAATGCACTTTTGTTCTCCATAGGTTTACTTTTCGGCATTCTGCTTCAGTTTCTAGTCTGGCCGAGAAGTTAGTTGTCTGGATGGCCAGTGTAGGTAAGAGCAGTGCTGTTACCGAGGTCTAGGTCCTGATTCCAGACCACTCTCACTGGAATTGGGAGGCTTGCAGAGAGAGTCTGTGGTTTTCTGTAAAGACCAAAGATTGAGATACTGTTCACCAAGTGGAGCCTTTACAACTTCCTATAGAAGAGTAGCTGGGACACTAGCCTTTTATGTCTTAGGGCATTGGAAATCTTTAGTTCATTCCCTGTGGCTCAGTTGAGGCTGCAGTTCTGTAAATCAGTCTCAGAATGCAAACTTTGCGTATACCTTTAAATGTGAAGCCATTCTGAGACTTCAGTTCAGAAATGGGCACTCTCATTATCCAAGATCAGTTGTGTAAGCACTTCAGAGTGTTCTCTCAAATGGAAAAGGCCCGAGATTCTAGGCACTGTGATGACTGAATACTCAGCTAACAAGAAGGGAGAAAAATTAATTCTTTATTTCTTGGTTCAAATGCCATTACTCCTGGGTTTAAAAGTGTTTGTTTGAAAAAATAATTGAGCAAAACCAACAGAAAACTCTTGCTAGTAGTGGTGGTGCATGTCTTTAATCACAGGATGTAGGAGGCAGAGGCAGGTGGATGTCTGAGCTTGATGTAGCCCAGTCTACATAGTGAGTGCCAGGGCAATGAGGGCTACATAGTAAGATTGTGTTTCCTGCTGGGGAAAAGCAGTTACTGAGATGAGTTTATGACTAAAAATTGAGACTGTTTTACATAGTACCCTAAATACTTCAATACTTCAAGGAGGTCACATGTGTTTCTTGATTCTCCACAGGATTCTGTTCTCAGTGAAGGTCTTTACAGTTCCTTTTTTTCTATGACTTGTAGAAAAATAACAATAGTTGTCTTATGTGATGTACATATAGGATGCATAAATGAAAAATATTGGATGAATTCTGTCCACTGTACATCACTTAATATTTACTAAAAGTTATTCTTATATAAGGAAATATTTTTGCTTCAATAATTGATGAACTTTTATATCATAAATAGTGGATAATATTGTGAAGTTTAGAACCTGTTGCTAGAAAAGAAATTTGAATTGGCCTGAGTTTGACAAGTATTTTAAATATTAAATGTATGTAACATTGAAAAGTGTGTCTGACATGTTACGTAGAGAAGAATGCTAAGGTGAGTTTGGCTGTTGATCACCCACCTTTAAATAGACGGGGATCACTGCAGCCAGTGCTCACTGCCTGCTGTCACTGTCTGCTGACAGATGTCTTACCTTTCTCTTGCTATTTTTAGTTAATCATCTTTATAGTTTGCTTAGGAATGTGTGTTTTCAGTGTTTTGCAAGTACCATATTCACCTGAGCTGATTAATGTAGCTAAGTCATTTATTGAAGACAGACAATAGGACTTGCCCCCACCCATGCCTTTTAACCTCCATAATGAAACAAAGTTCCTATTTTTATTCTTATATTTTGGTGTACATGTGCACAGTGTTTTTGTGGTTATGATGAACCAGAGGAGTGGGAGTGTCTTTTCATATCAACTCCCAAAATAATGGTAATCAGTTGACAGTACTTTGATTATGGGTGAGATTTACTGTTGTTTCTTGTACTTGTTAGTACTGGTGACTGCAGTGTTTTTTGACTGACTAGAGGATGATTGGAGAAGTGGCAGATCTCTAACTGAAAAAGCATCTTCCTTTCACTTCAAGGATTCACTTTAAGAGATCTGGAGACTCTTCCCTTTGGGATTGCTCTTCCCATCAGAGATGCGATCTACCACTGTCGGGAGCAGCCTGATTCAGATTGGTCAGAAGCTGTCTGTCTCTTGATTGGACGTCAGGACCTTTCCAAGCAGGCTTGTGAAGGAAATTTACCCAGAGGCAAATCTGTGAGTGTTGAAATGGGAAGTTCAGTTTTAGCCCCAGATAAAATCAAAGTGGAAGCAGTCTTCATTTTCTTTTGCACCTTTATCTATTTTGGTAATTGTGCATATCAGTTTGCCTTTTTATGTTATAAAGCCAGATGGAGTTGTGAACTTAGTGAGTGCCCCATGTTGCCTGGACCTTTCTTTGCCCAGAATCAGGATAGGTACAGAGTCAGCAAGCGACCTGCCATGCCTGTTCTACTTGTAACTGTAGAGGCAACCGATTACTATATAGGAAAACCCAGGGCCTTTATACCCTCAGTGTGTCTAGCTAGGATGATACCTGTTTTCTTGTTGATTACTTTTTGAAAGATTTGATTTCTAGAATTTAACCTTTTAAATAGGTATTAATAAATTTGTGTAATCCAAGAATAATAGTAGAATTAAAGCCTGAAGAAGAATACTTTCACCTTTAGGGTTAAATCTATTTCAAAATAAGTTCTAAGAAGCCCAGAAACAAGGATAATTTTTTGTTTTATTTTTTTTATAATTGTTGTTGTTAGTATTATTACTAGTAGTAGTATTCATTTTTTTTCTTTTTTATATTCATTCTTTTTTTTCTTATATAAGGACAGGGTCCTTATATAGACCAGTCTGGCTGTTATAGGACTCAGAGATCTATGACATCGCTGAGCAAACAGTAGGAATCAGGCTTGTCTCATTAGCCTTTGACTCAGCACATCATTACAGTGTAGTATGATATGGGTGTGTTAGAATAGGTCTTCTAGCTTGACAGTTGCCTGCTGTGAACTTGGGCCAGATTCAGTTTCCATGAGAGTCTGATCTCAAATCTGTATCTAAATAGCAACTCTAGTTGACTTGGTGTTGGTCCTATTTTAGATACAAAATGGTCTTATTTTCTTGACCAAGAAAATCTGTATGTGGGTGGTACATGCTTGTAACCAGAACTTGGAAGACTAAGCCAGGAAAATTACTGTGAGTTTAAGGATAGCCTGAATTACATAGTAAGACCTTGTCATAACACATACACACACACACACACACACACACACACACACACACACAAACACACACTTGCGTGGAAAAAAAAATCTGTGGCATTTAGATTTCTTTTGCTCCTGAGAACCATTCAGCATATAAACACTATAAATATTAATCTATAAATTCTTTAAATGTCAGTCTATGCAAGTTTATCTGAACTTGTTTTCTTCAATTATTTGTTGCTAAATTTCACCGTGTTTCTGCTATTTGTGTTTATATTCTGTAAGTTAGGATATACAATCATCTCTGGCCTAACGATGGCATACATTCTGAGAAATGTGTCCTTAGTAGTTGTGATGTGTGAGCATGGTAGTGTTTGTAGCTGGGTCACTGTGCATACGTCCTATGTTAGGGAAGCACCATCAGGTATGTGGGCTCTTGGTGGAAGTGCTGTGTGGTGCGTGTTATAGTTTGGTTTAGATTAATTATTCCATGGGAACCAAAGTAAGTTTTTATCTGGACATATATACCATTTTTTCCAGGCTAACATTGTTGCCTCCACACTAAACATTGGATCAGAAAACTAGCATTTGTAGGAGCTAGACACTACATAGACTCGGGTGATAAGACCAGGAATGCGTGGCCAGACTGGGCAACATGGTGCTATCCCAGTGCAGAAGAGCTCAGCTTGTATGACAGTATTGAATAACTTCAGGAAGCTTACTGGTCGTGCTTACCTCTAGTGTAGAGTTCTGTTCTATTAGCCTGTTTGTCCTTCTCAGGCTAGGTACACGACTACCTTTTAAATCACTGTACTAAAATCCGTTACACAGGTGCTCTCATCAGAAGTGTCTTCAGGAACTGAGGCCGAGGAGGAAGATGATGGCATGAATGACTTGAACCATGAGGTTATGTCATTAATATGGAGTGAAGATTTACGGGTGCAGGATGTGCGAAGGCTGCTTCAAAGTGCACACCCTGTCCGTGTCAATGTGGTGCAGTACCCAGAACTCAGTGACCATGAGTTCATTGAAGAAAAAGAAAACAGGTAAAATAGTTCATTTCCTGTCTGATCTGTTACACTTGAGACTAGTTTTTTTTCCTTTAATTTTTTAACTTTTCTCTTTTAAACATTTAGTGTGTGTGTGTGTGTACACTGCAATGTGTATGTGTAGGTCAGAGAACAGCTTTTGGGAATCGGTTCTTTCGACTAGGCTTCAGGACAATCCAACTCAGACCTTTAGGTTTAGTGGCAAGTGCCTCTTCTAACTAAGCTGACTTGCCAGCTTGGTGGTTAGCTTTAAATGTTATCTTGCTGTAGTCTAGAATTACCTGAAAGAGAAATTAATTTGTGGGCTTACTTAGATCAAGTTGATCTGTAGGGAATTGTCTTACATAAGCCAAAATGAAGTAAGTTACTTTGAAGTTAAAAATCTACCTTTTATATTAACTTTATATCCAATGCCAGTAAACCATCTATGGCGTAAAAATACTTTTTGGCTTTTGAGGATATAATTGTACCCTCCTCTTGAAATATAACAGTTATTTCAGGAAAGGCAAATATAAGAGAGTAACAGAGTTTGGAAATGAAGTATATACTGGACTTAATTCTTCTGTACCTTAATCTAGGGATAGACTTTGAGGCACTTGGTTGTTAATCTTTAGTGTTCTTTAAATTCACACCATTTGTATTAGATGCCTTTGTCGTTGTGAAAAAAATACCTGACAAACCACTTAGGAACAGAAGTTGATTTTCAAACACAGTTCTAGAAAGTATAAGGCAGGTGCTAGGAGTGGCTCCGTCTGTAGGGACAGGATGTGAGGCAACTGGTTCTCCCTCTACTCTGAAACCTCTCCTTTATCTCTGTCCTCCCCTGGCATCAGACTTACTAAGTTGCTTAGCCAGCCTTGATTTCTCTCTAGTTCAGGCAGGGCTTGCATTGAGCTTTTGATTTGAGTAGCTGGAATTATAGGTGTGTGAACCAACCCAGCTTCTTTTCTTAAACTGTTTGAAGGGTAGTCGCCACTAATGCTTAGCTGCAGTCCACTGAAAGTCCTAAATTCTTTCTCACTGTTTCCTCACCACATGGGCTCAGATTATCATGTGAAATTGAGGGTAGAGCACATAGTTAGAAACAGGGGCTTTTGTAGTAAAGCTATAGTAATTGCTGGATGAACTTGGATAAATTGCTTAACATGTTATTTTATGAGTTGCTTCAGCTGTAATAGACATGAGTATAACAGTTATACCTCATCAGCTATTGGTCTCAAGTCAGTTCTTTTACAGAACACTTAATAAAAGTGCATAGTAAACTCACTGTAGTAAGCTATTATTAACAGTGTGTTCATTCTTTTTCTTTGTGATGTTTTAGTACAGCGGTTCTCAACCTTCGAAATGCCATAACCCCTTAATACAATTCCTCATGTATGAATTCCCAATCATAAGATTATTTTTATTGCTACTTCATAGCTGTAATTTTGCTACTGTTATGAATTATAGTTTAAATATCTGATATGTAGATGGCCTTAGGCAACCCCTGCATAAAAGTCATTTGACACGCTCCCCAAAGGGTCACTTCCCACAGGTTAAGAAACACTATTATATCTGAAATCAGAATGTATCTTTTGGTTACTAGATCTAAGTCTCATTGGAGGTCTTTTTTCTTGGTACTTAATGGGATCATGAAGCATCATCCTATTAGTGGCCCTATGCATCCAGGGGCTACAGCATTAATGCTAGTGATTTAATTTCATGACTTTTGCAAGTGTAATTGAATTATGTGTAAAGCTTTCACCAAAATGTTCTATAAGATCTAGCTTCTTGGGTTAAGATTTTACACATCCCCGGTTATTGTACTGCTGTAGTTCCAAGGAATTGTTAAAACATTAGAATGTTAGAATTCTCTCTAATGAGCTAGGAAAGTATATTTATGTAACTTGGGAGAAAGCGGCTTAATGAATATTTTTGTTTGCAGAGAGTTTTAACCCTTTGTTAGCCTCTGAAGGTCCTTTCCTTATTATCAAGTAAAACGTTTAAAACCATTTCCTAGTTATGAATGGCACCTTCTACATTTTTTGTTAGTTTTTGTCCCAAGGACCTATTTAGAGTAGATTCGCTGCAGGAACAAAAGTGGGTTGTTAAGTTTTTCAGTGTGACCAGCAGAAGCCATACTTGAGCATACTTGGTGTGTGGATCTGGTGACTGTTTACTTTCTTTGTGTACAAAACAGAGCTAAGTGGCATTTTTGAGGCAGTGTTGGTAGAAGGAATGAGGAGAAGATCTCAGCATACTAATGCAGCTCAACTGAGAATTACAACAAGAAGAATGACCCAGATAATATACTTTCTTTGAACAGGTTAGCATCAGAGTAGAATTTAAGTTTCACGTTTTACTACCCCAGGAGAATTGGATTTTATTCAAAGTAAATAAGCAAAGGACGAACATCATCCTGATCGGAGTAGAATTGTGAGAGGAATTGTGGGTCCTCCCATCTTGGGTGGTTTGCTTTGTAGGGCTTGGTTGTCCGTCTTAGTTCCTCTCAGAATAATTTCCTCCTGTTAGATCCCAGCTATGAACTCTGTTAACTAACAGTTCGTGTGTTGGTTTGATTTCCATTTAGACTGCTCCAGTTGTGTCAGCGAACTATGGCCCTTCCAGTAGGACGAGGAATGTTTACCTTGTTCTCATATCATCCTGTTCCAACAGAGCCATTGCCTATTCCTAAACTGAATCTGACAGGTAGGTTAAGTTCTGGGCTCATTAACAACAGACTAAAATTCATAGTTAAAACCAATGAAACGCTTCTCTGCCCTTATTGATTTTTAAGCATTAAAGCTGCTGTAGTGGCTATTGAAACTCAAATAGCAAATTGTATTACTTTTCTCTTAGCTGTGACAGAATTTTCCTGTCAAGCAGCTTAGGGGAGAGAAGAGTCTCTGGCTCCTGGTTTAAGAGGATGCAGTCCATTACTGCAGGAAAGCATGAGGATAGGAACAACTTGGGGCTGGATCTTCCTGGAATCTGAACAATCTGAACACAAGACAAGATGGCTGGAAACCTCAAGACCCAGCAGCTCTCAGTGGCTCAGTTCTTCCAGTAGTTCCCAAACCCCCAAATACCACAGTCTTCTAGAACAGCGCTACCAACTGGGAAACAAAGTAGTTAGAATTTAGCCTATTACTAATTTTGCATTATAATGTGACTATTTTAAGATATAAAAAGTTCAAAGAGTTATTGTTGAAAAAGATGACACTATTTAGGACTGATGTGGTGGCACACACCTTCCATCCCAGCACGTGGGAGGCAGAGGCAGGTGGATCTCTGAGTTCCAGACCAGCTGGGGCTGCAGAGTAAGACCCTGTTTTGTTGTGCTTTTCTGAAAATTTTAAATGATGTTAAAGTCTAATATATATAATATTAGTTCTCTTGAGACACTCAATTGTTTCTCTGTGTGTACAGCTACAAATAAAACACTATTCATCTATTCAGAATTTGTTCTTGATGACATTTTAGACATCTTTAAAATGGTATTTTCTAAGTTCTGAAGATTTTGGTAGCTTTCTTTGTTCATTAATTATTTTAAATGTCCATCCCATTGTCATTTTGGCACAGTGGTCATCATATCAGTCTCATAAATGTCCGTTGATGATTCGAGCTAACATAAGCCATTCAGAATATAAAGATGATTTGGCCATGTCTGTGTACACAATATGTATCAAAACTCAAAGGGATTAGGAAAAAATAAAAATGAACTTACAACATCACAGACATTTAATTTCTGTCACTTGTGGACCTTCACATTAGAGAATGTTCCTTACTAGTTCCCTGGGTAACTTATCTGTAAACAGACACTTTCTGTTTTTACACAGTGTCTGACTCAAGCTAGCCTCAAAATTTCCATCCTCCTGTGAGGCCTCTTGAGTGCCAGGACTATAGGCGTGTGCCTATAATTCAGTTAAGTTTGGCATTTTAAAAGAAATGGTTTAGTTGTTGTCTGTATGTGTGCATATGGAGGTGAGAGAACAGAGCTGCAGTTACAGGTGGTTGTCACCTGCTGTGGATGTGGTGGTTGTGGTCCCAGCAGTACAGCCATCCATCTCTCCAGCTACAAGTTTGGCATTTTAAACAACACCATATTTAGATACTTACAGACATACGTGAAGAGAGTAGACATACGAGTCAGACAAAGGGCAGATTTCTGAAGGTCTCTGCCTCTTAACATTTACATTGCTTTAGTATTCAGACAGCAACACAGGAGTGTTTGAAATGAACGTCAGTGTCCTCAGTCATCTGTTGGACTTCCTTACTCATGTAGTTCAACTGTGACACTGGCCTTCATTTAGTTTCCATCTATCTCCCTGCAGCTGCAAACACTGTAGAGCATCGAGAACTCTGACCATACTGTCTGAAGCCAAAGCTGTCAGTTATTTTTTATTGTGTGTTAGCAAAATGGACCCTAAATGTTGTAAACAATATAGTTTGCTTAGTTGATTGTTGTTTCTAGGAACAGAGTCTCAGCATGTATCCCTGAACTCTGACTGGCCTGGAACTCTACAGACCAGATTGGGCTCCAATTCACAGAGATCCGCTAGCCTTTGCCTCTGGGTTTTTGGGATTATAGGCTTGTGCTGCCATGGCCAGGAAGAGAGAGAGAGAGGGAGGGAGGGAGGGGAGGAGGGAGGAGAAGAGAGGGGAGGAGAGAGGGTGTTAGTTTTAAATACTTATTTTATGTGTATATATGTACCTGATGTACCTGAGTGTATGAATGTGTACCATGTGTGGGAAGGAATCTAAAGAGGTCAGAAGAGGAGTTGAATCCCCAGGGAACAAACAGACTTGGAGCTGCCATATAGGTGCTGGGAAGTAAATCTCAGTCCTCTGCAAGAGAAGCAAGTGCTTCTAACTGTTGAGCCATCTCTCTAGCTCTTAATAGGGGTTTTGAATGTAGCTTTATTTCAAAGACTTGAATTTTAATTATGTAAATTTTCTATGTAAATTTTCTTAATTTCCTTCTCCTTTGTTTGCCTAGGGCGAGCCCCTCCACGAAACACAACTGTAGACCTTAATAGTGGGAACATCGATGTGCCTCCCAATATGGCAAGTTGGGCTAGCTTTCATAATGGTGTGGCTGCTGGCCTGAAGATAGCCCCTGCCTCCCAGATAGACTCAGCTTGGATTGTTTACAACAAGCCAAAGCATGCCGAGTTAGCCAATGAGTATGCTGGTTTTCTCATGGCCCTGGGTCTGAATGGGCACCTTACCAAGCTGGCTACTCTCAATATCCATGACTACTTGACCAAGGTGAGAACATGGCATCCCCATCCTGGCATTATGCCACATATATCTACTGCACTACCTCCTAATTGTCCTGCTTGCCTGCCTTATTCCTGCACCTCTAACTATGTTCATCTCATAGCAGGATAACAGTCATCTTCCATTGTCTCGGTCTGCTCCAGGGCCTGTGTGGTCCTGCTCACCTCGCAACCTCTGTACTACTGCTCCACTGCTCTTGCTTTGAGTGTCTCTCTTTGTTTTACTTTACTGGCTAGTGTCATGAAGTTCTTTGGAGATTCTAATAATTCTCCAGCCCCTCCTAATTAAAAAAAAATTAGTCTCCTTTAAATAGTCTTCATATTCTCTGCATTTTTTAAAAAAAAATTAATTGTGGCTTTGTATGTCTTTAATTTAGCATGTTTTCCCCTATTAGAACACTGTGAGCTGAGACAAGAATTTAATTTGTCCCTGTGCTCTCAGTGCCTGCCATGTAGAGGTGCTTATTGAAAGAGGTAGGCACTGTTCTACTTAAAGCTATTTGTAGGGCTGAGGAGATAGCTCAGTTACTTGTACAAACATGAAGACTTGCAGTTAAGTTCCCAGCACTCACATAAAAATGCCAGTGGTGGTCTAGCACTCTTGGAATTCTGGTGCTGGAGAGGTGAAGAAAAGAGGACCTCAGAGGCTTGCTGGTAGCCAGCCTACCTGATTGTGAGCTCCAGGTCCCATGCCTCAAAAACTAAGATGAAGAGCTTTCTATGAACAACATCAAAGGTTAATAATATCTGCTTCTGCTTGTGTGTGTGTGTTCTAGTATTGTCTGAGTTTTATTTTGTGTGCCTTTGTAGGGCCATGAAATGACAAGCATTGGATTGCTACTTGGTGTTTCTGCTGCAAAACTCGGCACCATGGATATGTCAATCACCCGGCTTCTTAGCATACATGTTCCTGCTCTCTTACCCCCGACATCCACAGAGCTTGACGTGCCTCACAATGTCCAAGTGGCAGCTGTGGTTGGCATTGGCCTTGTTTATCAGGGTACAGCTCACAGACATACTGCGGAAGTCCTGTTGGCTGAAATAGGTATGCAGTTAATAGTGTTTAATTTTTACAGTTGTACATTTTCCACTCGAACATACCCACAAAAAATGATAAAATTATGAAAACTAAAGAAAACAAAGAGTAGCTTTTGTGAGCACATAATGATCAGCTAGTTAGCTGAAAGAAAAAAGAAAGCCAAGCTCACAAGTAATGGAGCCAGAGCTTCTGCTACTGTACAGTGGTAAGCCTGGATGGACAAGCCCACAGCTGACCTCTGCTGGACACGTCTGAGCATTCATCTCACACCAGACGGTATCTAGCAGTGGCCTGCACTTACCGTCTTGTTTTCCTCTGCTGGACAAGAACACTTGAAAAAAAAAACCAGGCAATTTTGTCCTGCTCACACCTCATGGCTTTCGATTACCTTTCAATCACTGGTAAATGTAATTGCTTTACATCTTAATGTAGATGCTATGTAAACAGTGTTATACTTGTATTGTTTGGGGAATAGTGGTAGAAGTCTGTGGGTGTTCCATGCAGGTAGAGTTGTGGACGTCTTTTTGGTGTATGGTTGATTTCATGGGTGCAGAACCTATAGATATGAGGCCACTCTGACGAAGTTTAACTACAAATTAAACAACAGTAACTGCTGTTAGAGTAGGAGGATTATAATGGTCTAGTGACCTTGGGCATTTTTACTTCTAGAATTTGGCATTTAATGTTTGGAGAATGTGATTACCAGTAGAGGAACCACGGACAGTAAGAACGTTGGAGTTCTGAACTTGAGAGTGTGATAGTGAGGATGCATCACGTAGCTGTTGCTGCTCCGCTTCTACATAATGAGCCGCCGTCGCGCTGGCCTGCTGGCTGGATTCTAGGCTGTACATCTGGGGTTTACTTGCTCTTGTTCTGCTTCAGCTGTTGTTCTAGGACCCAGGCTAGAGGTCCGTTGGGGAACTCAATAGTGAAAGTATTGTTTCAGTCCTTTTTCTGTTTGCCAGCTGAAGCCCAGGCCACATCTAGCAGGTCCATCGTAAAGCTGTAAGGCGGTGGATGTAGCTAGAACACTGAAGACTAGGGCTGAGACTCTGATCTGCTGTGGTGGGAATAGAAGCTATTTACAAAGTCCTTGTAGTGACAATTTTGTAATTTTGGTTTCTTAAAAAATAACATAGAAATATTTTAAGAATGCTTTCATTTTAATCCCAGATGTGGAATATAGAGCTGCTTCAGATTGTCCACAGATTTGCCTTGTGCTCAGCAGGGGTGTGATTTTTGCCAGCTGCAGATAGTTTCTGCAATTGTGTGACATTTGAAATTTTTAGGTCTTTTCAGAGAGTATTTAAATGCTAGGGCCCAAGAGATGTGTAGTTAGGGGGTTGTTAGTTGGTTGTTGTTGGTGGTGGGTTGTTAGTTGCTGTTAGTTGTGGTTTTAGTAATTATGTGCAATGAAGAAAAAGAAGAAATGAGATCAAACTAGTCCCCAAGGAACTTGATGCCCCTAATCAGCAGGAAGTAGTCACCCCCTTCCAACCCCTGACTTTATTCAGGCATCTCTTTCCTTTCCTCTCTTTTTCTCTCTTATCTAGTGTTTGGGGGTTAAAAGGTAGAAGAAAAGGAGTGGAGAAGGGTGGAAGAAAGAAGAACTGACAAAGTAGCAAAAAGACTAGCTACAATTCCTATACCAAAACACAAAGTAGCATAAAATATAGGTCTGAAAAAAGTCCACAAAGGTCCTGAGCACTGCTATTTAGATTTGCTCATTTAGAGGGTAAGCAAAAGCTGCTGTACTAGTGCTGTCTAGTGATGCAGCCCCTGTCTCTCAGCCTCAGCACACCTCTCGTATTCTGCAGACAAGATTTTGTCTTTGATTTATATGTGATCCTTTAATACAGTTCCTCATGTTGTGATTTTTGTTGCTACTTCATAACTATAATTTTGCTACTCTTATGAATTGTAATTAAATATCTGTTATACAGAATATCTGATATGCCACCCCAAAGGGATTTCGACCACAGGTTGAGAACCAGTGCCCTAAAGCATATCGTTGGTAGAATGGAATGCTTAAAAAAAAAAAAAGAATTTTTACTATAGACACATATGATTGATTGTAACTGTACTTTTGACTACTTTATTGGGTTCTTTTACCTACAGCTCTTCTCTATCCATACCCCTCCAACCCCTCACCCCCCCAACACTAGGTAGGAGAGAAAGAAGGTTAGAGAGGAAAGATGGCGTCGATCTTATTAAACTACTTCCTGCTGATTAGGGGCATTGAGTTCTTTGATGGTAAGTTCAGACTTTGTCGTCAGGATATCCAATTTCTTTTCATCTCTGCTCATGACCACTTGACAGCAGAAGGGCCAGGAGACTCCTCCGTATCTCTTGGTGCTCTGGCATTTTTATACCCTCTGAAGAGTCCCCAGAATTCCAAACATGAACTGTCTTCAGCTTGGCAGAATCATGCCCCTGCCAGAGCATGAGACAAATCATAGTTAGCTGCTGTGGACAGTCTGAAGTGGCCCCATATCCCACACCTGAGATTGAAACAAAAACAGTCATATATCTGTATTTTAAAATTAAGCAAAATTCTCACTACACGTGATATTATATAGAATCAAATGAAAATCTGGAAACATTTAAAAGCAGGAAGTAATTGCACATTTTACTTATTCACTTGGAACATTTTTAATCACATCTAATGAATGCATTTGAAAATAATAAAAATAAATTTAAATTGTAAAATATTTTATTTTTAGTGAGAACAGTTTTTTAAAAGTAATTGTCTTGTTTTTTAAGTGTTGGGACTGGCTCCAGTGTGGAGGTCAGAGGATGCTTTGCTGGATTCCACCTCCCCCATCCCCAGTGTATATGCTAGGCTGGGGTTTCCTTCCTCCATGTGTGTGCTGGGCTAGGATTGCCCCCATCCCCATGTGTGTGCTGGTATTGGACTTAGGTCGTCAGATTTGGCAGCACTGGGTTCTGGCCAGCACCAAAGTAATTGTCTCTTTAAAAAACAAAATTCTTACTTCTAGGCAAATTTTTTTGGGGGAGGGGGATAAAATCCAAGGTATCCCAGTATTTGAAAGTCATTGTTAATAGAAACTTTAATAAGTTAGTTTAAGAGCCTTTGGGGAGCTTTAGGTGAATTGGGAAGTTGGATACCTTTTGAACAGTGTCTTTGAGCAGCTCAATCAACTGGAAAATGAACTCCATAAAACTTGTACAAGTTGGAGTTTGTAATAGGCTAGCTTGACCTGTGTTTCTCTGTCCTACACAGGGCGGCCCCCTGGTCCAGAAATGGAATATTGCACTGACAGAGAGTCCTACTCCTTAGCTGCTGGCCTGGCCCTGGGCATGGTTTGCTTGGGGGTGAGTAGTCTGACTTCCGCTTTTATGCAGGATATCTTTGAATTGAAAGGAACACCCTTGATACTTTGCTCTGAATGCTATCCTGTGACCTAATCCAGTGCCCAACCTTTTCTTCTTTCTGGATTCTTTTTTAATTTTCTCTAGTTTGCAGTGGAGAAAAACTACAGTGAAGTGAGATTTCAAGATTTATTTTTCCTGACTTAGATTTAAGTGTTCACAGTTAAACTATGATATCTATTTTTATTTTATGTGTATAGATTTTTGCTTGCATTTGTGTCTGATCACCATGTATATGCAGTGCCTGTAGAGGCGGGAAATGGTATTGGATTCTCTGAAATTAGGGTTACAGATAGCCATCCTGTGGGTGCTGGGTATTGAACCCAGGTTGTCTGGAGAACAGCTTGTGCTCTTTACCACTGAGCCATCTCTCTAGTCCTGAAATTTCTTGAAAAAGTTCAAGACATAAGATTAAGATAAAGAATGATAAACCACTCTGGGAGAAACTAGAGCTCAGTGGATAAGAATGTCTACTGTGTAAGCATGAGAGCTTGAGTTTGGATTTCAGTGCACACTGAGAATGATAGAGCAGGATTCCCAGCATCCCACTGTGGCCCCTGTGCACATACATACACACAAGTAGCTGTACATGTGTAGCACATGCACATATACCAACTCAGACATCTTTTGCTACTCTGTTATCACTGCATTCCAGAGTGTTGCCACAGCAGATCTTGCTTTGTGAAAGAGTGCAATGTCTGGTTCACTCATCTTTAACTCAATCCAAGAGAGTCTTCAAAACTACCAAAAACATCTCATGTAATTACTGTTTTTTACTTGGAATGTGATTTCTTTGAAAAACCACCAAGGCAATATTCTAGTCAAGCTAAATGATATTCAAAATGTTATAGTGGAACATGTTGCTTCTTATGTGCATTTTGAAAATCTGTCGTTGTTGGCTAAGTGTTTTCTCTTCACATCTGACAAATGAGCTAAAGAGGCAGGTGGTACTATGTAAAAAGCATCACACTGTGGATTGAGACTGGAATTTTGGTCCCAACTTGTGGTAAATCCAGTCATTTAACTACATTAGTCTCTATCTGTTGGCTAAGCAGCCCCATGGCCGTTGAACAGAACTGCTGTGTTTGACATACAACCTTGCCATTTAGTAGCTAGGTAACCTCGGGCTGTGTTAAAATGCACCTCCCTGTTCGCATTGTAAGTGAGATTCTTACCAGTAGCTACTCAGTAGTGTCCTAGTTTTGTTCTGTTGTTGTGATAAAACACTCTGACCAAAAACACCTTAGGGAGGATGGGGTTTACTGCTGCTTATACATTCATGCTGGGCAGGAGCTCAAGTCAGGAACCAGAAGCATGGAGGAGTGCTGCTTGTTGGCTCACTGTCTGGCTTGCCCACAGGCTCATGCTGAGCTAGGGTTGTTTTATAACCCAGAACCACTTGCCTAGGGATGGCGCCACCCACAGTAGGCTGGAGCTTCCTACATCAATTCATAATCAAGGTAATAGTCCCCACAGACATGTCCATAGGCCACTCTCATCTAGACAGTCCCTCAGTTGAGGCTTTTCTTTCAGGTGACTTTAGGGTGTATCAAGTCAACAAGTAAAACTAATAAGGACAAATAGGGTTGCTGAATTGAGTGAATTCATTTTGAGAACAACAGAATTGAGCATGGTAGTGAGTAAGATTCAGTAAGTTGTTGTGGTTGCTTGAGGAGACCACTGGTGCAGTAATGAAAGTACTCTGTGGTTGTTCACAGTTCAGGTTTTGAATATGTACTTGATCTTTTCTTTTATTCTGAGTGCAATTACATCTTTTGATTTTTTTAAATGTATTTTATGAAACAAAAGTATATAGATCTAAAAATATATTATTTTTATGAGAATTAATAACTTGGCATAAATTAATGTGTATAATGTTTATTGTAATTGGAAGAAACATCAAAATTAAAATGAGCTCTTCTGAAGTGTGTCCCTTTGCTTATCCTGATTTACTGTTGTTAAGACTTCTTTTCATCTCAGTTACTTGATTTTTCCAGCATGGCAGCAATTTGATTGGTATGTCTGATCTCAATGTGCCCGAGCAGCTGTATCAGTACATGGTTGGAGGTCACAGGCGTTTTCAAACTGGAATGCACAGGGAGAAACATAAGTCTCCAAGTTATCAGATCAAAGTAAGTCAAGTTAGAGGAAAAGATCAGAGCCACAGGCTGAAGTTAGCTGCACAGTAGTGGCTTTCCTACCAACAGCTATACATGTACAGGAGCTCTTACATGAGTAACTTCTCTCACCAGGAAGGAGATACCATAAACGTGGATGTGACTTGTCCAGGTGCTACTCTGGCTTTGGCTATGATCTACTTAAAAACCAATAACAGGTATTAGCACCCTCCCCTGCCTGCGTGGTGCATGGCATCCTTTTCGCCCTCAGCAGTACTCTTTCTCATGTGTATCTCCCATGTACTAGAGCAGCCTGATGTCTGTTCTCTCAGATAATGGAGCTGAGTAGACTTTAGGTAGCACTGTTTTCTTTGGTAATGGTGTGTGTCGGGAATCTTGTCTCAGTGTCTTCAGGGTATTGGTCCCAGAACCTGTACAGACATTAGAACCCACAAATGTTCAAGCCTGTCACATAAATCATGAGATGTGCACTTCATCTTGCTACTTTAAATCATCTATATTACTTATAATATGCAATATACTTGTCTTTAGTATATAAATGGTTGTTAATACTGTATTGTATAGAAAATTGTAATTCAAAAATCAAAAGACCATCTGTGTTTAATTTAGATGTAAGTTTTTCCTCTCCTCTGGTATTTTCAAGTAGATATGGAAGAAAAGGTTATGGAGGGCAAACCCAAAGAACTGCCTACTTCCTTTCAGTAATTTAGCATATCCTTGTGAGTATTGTTTAGCCAGAAATACTTAGCATTATTTTGTACTTGGTTACCATTTATAAGTGTTTTCTGCTTTGTTTAGACCAATCTGTCTTGAGTTATGTCCTCAGCTCACCTTCATTCTTTTAATTTGAAAAACATTCTGAGATTCATGAAACTCTACAGTATTCTCGATTCTTCTAGTTGGGAAAATTCTATGTAGAGTTAACAAAGTGGTAAAAGATTATTAATCTTCTATTTGGATGACTGTATGTGAGCTGATACTGGGGATATTTCAGTGAACAAGACAAAACTAAACATAACCTCATGGAACTTATTTATATAGTAAGACATAAAAACATAAATATTATATCAGAGTTTGTGAAGCATTATGAAAAAGCTAGACCTTTGCTGGAGGAGAGAGATCATTTGGTGTCTTGATTTTTGAATACCTGGCCTCTTCCTTGAGCGGTAACCTTCACTGGTGTCCTCTGCCCACAGATCCATTGCTGATTGGCTGCAAGCTCCTGATACCATGTATTTGCTGGACTTCGTGAAACCAGAATTCCTCTTGCTTAGGGTATGGTGCTTTGTCATTTTCGTTTTTCTTGACATGAGGGAGGCACCTTCTGTGATCCTCGAGTTTAGCTGCAAATCTAAATGCCTTTCCATGAAAGGGTTTACTTTTAGCCTGTCATGTTTTTCTGACTAGCAACGTTCTTTTGAAGTTTCCCAGAAAGAACTTAGAAGGGCTAGTAAAGGTGGCCACCTTGATAGGTAATAATTGAAAGGATGTTTCTTATGTTATTAACACCCACCAAAGGCAGCACAGGACCAAGGTCTGTGTTATTTTTAATGTCCTTGAGGATGCAGTAGTACTGTTATGGTTGCAATGAGAGTGACTGTTTAGTACTGTCTAAAATTGTTCTGTATTCCTTTCATGTTTGAACTTACCAAGCTTTTAGATTGACATGTGTGCTGAGCTATGGCTCTTTGTTATTTTTCTTTCACAGTGCAAGAAAGCCTTCTTCAAACCCTCATTACTTTAAGATCTAAGTCTTTATTTTTATATAGTTAGTTGATAATCTGTGTTTTAAAGTAGTTAGTTGGGAACTGATCCTCAGTTTACTTACAGTTGCAATTGTTGGGAAACACATGAGCTTTGCCTAATTAATTTTATCTGTAATTCATTTTTAAGACACTTGCTCGGTGCCTGATTTTGTGGGATGATATTTTACCAAATTCCAAGTGGGTTGACAGCAATGTCCCTCAGGTAGGTACAGATTGTAAATACTGCAACATTAATAACATAAATTAAGATTTCTTGTGAGATTTTCCAAGGTGCTATAGAATATTTTTTCTTGTGGAAGCAATTGTTTACCCTTAGGTATCTTTTTTTTCCAAGATTTGTTTTTTGATCATTTTTAAGCATGTGAGTGTTTAAATGTGGATGCTGGTGCTTAAGGAAGCATCAGATCCCCCTGGAGTTATGCGCAATTGTGAGCTGCCTATAATAGGTGCTGTGAGTTGAACTCAAGTCCTGGAAGAGCAATGCCTGCTTCTAACTGCTGAGCAATCTTCCTGCTCATCTTTAGGGGGATCTTTTGAAAACAGAGGAACTATAATTTTATGAGTGTATGCTGAAAGCCAAGGAGATGACACAGCTGCTAAAGTGCTTGCCCTGGAAGCAAGAAAACCACAGCTGAAACATCCAGGTCTTCCCAAAGGCTGGTACTGCTTTGTAGGGGTGGTCCTGGACTGACGTGGCCTGGTCCTGCAAGTGCTCACATTCTTCATGTGAGCCGCTATATCCCAGACCTATTGGAAGCCCAATCTCTGAACCTCTCCTGGTTCTCAGATAGACTGATGTGGTGGAATGGGTAGTGCTAGAATTTTCTTTACTAAGCTTACTGTGTATATTCTACTTGTGTGATTGTGCTTTCTGAAATGCTAGGGTGGGTGTGATGTTAGGGTTCTTAAGTCCCATATAAATTATGGTGGGAGAAGGTGAGATGGGATCCCCTGCACAAACTGGCTGATAAGACTAGGTATATTGTTTGATTAAGAGATCCTATTTCAATGAATAAGACAGAAGAAAGATAAAGGGAGATTTCCTGACTTCAGTCTCAGACTTCTATGCCTGTAGAACTCAAAGTTGACTCGAAATACCCCAAGACCAAGTTCTTAGGACAGATGAGATTTATTTGTCCCAGAGGGACAAAGGGCAGGGAATAAGAGACAGAGAGGAGATAGAGGATGAGGAGAAGGGAGAGGGGTAACGGGTGTTTGTCCCAGAGGGACAAAGGACCATCTCTCTGGTTAGAAAGGATACAGACAGGAAACAGATGTGGCCTGTAGGTAAATGGCAGTTTATAAAGATAGAAGGGAAAACATATTGGAATGAGTTGGTTAATTTTGACTGGACAAGTTAACTAGAGTAGCCACAGGGGGGATTGGTTGCTGGACTATAATACTTTGATAGCTGGACCTTGCTAGTCAGCCTCAGGAGGAGGAAGTGGCCAAATAAGGGAATAGACCATGTTGGCTACCTTTAGGAAGGCAATTCAACAGTTTAGCAAGGAAGAGGGAATGGGGGAAGGACAAGGCCTACCAGAGCCATGTTTGCCATGCTGGGCAGGCTAGAGCCCCTTTAGTATGTGTGTGTGTATACACACACACACACACACACACACACACACACACACACACACACACA